ACCACATGCACATAAGTGTTGCTTAAATCAATATATAACTAATTATTTATATTTTTTTTAAAATTTTTGGGGGGATTTTAATTATTTGTCAAGCTAAACTAAGCTAAGTTAGCCCCATAACTTAATAATTTCAATTCTTTGATAATGACACCAATTTACCAAAAAATCAGTCATACCCCTAATTGGTCTAATTTAATTTTTAATTTAATACTCTCTCCGTCCCAATACAATAGTCTTGTTTACCATTATTGTCTGTTCCAAAACAATAATCTTATTTCCATAAATAACCATATCACCATAAAACTACTCATACTTCTTCATTTTTACTACACAATTGTCATTATTTTTTATTTTAATACACTCATAAGGGCAAAAAAGTCTTTTATCCATATTTTTTACCAACTACCAATATAATATCAATATTCCTTAAATCTCGTGTTCAACCCAATTAAGACTATATTTATGGGACGGGGGGAGTAATATAATGGCTCTCTTAGTAAAATTGTTTATTGTAATTAATTTTTATTGTGTTTGTTAAATTTTCAACTCATGGTTTATTACAATATTGATTTGGGTGATCAATAATAATAATAATAATAATAATAATAAGATTTTTATGTAAAGATTGGAAATGACCTTTCTTTGTTGTAATTCAATCAATTACTTGAAACTTTCGACGTTGAATTTCATATTGTCTCCCAATCTTGAATCATTACACATATGCCTTTTGCTTTATAGTGGCAAAATAATAATAATAATAATAATAATAATAATAATAATAATAATAATAATAATTAATAAATAAATAAATAAATAGGCTAGTTATTGTTATTAGTAATACTAGTAGTAGAAAGGTCGAAAGATTTTTACTGTGACACAAAACGTGTTAGAAAATAAATAAAATGGCGTATTTTGAAATTTAGAAATAATAATATCGCACACAATCTCAATAAAATAAAAATAAAACATTTACCGACAATTAGAGGTTTTGAGCTGAATGTTTAGCATATAAAGGGTTTATTCACACAAATAATTTTTTTCAATGATGCAATTCCCAATATAATATATATATATATATTATTTTACAAAAAAAAAATTCAATAAAAAATATTGGTATTCTTTTATATTATCGACACGATTCTCAATATCTCATATAAAAGTTACATTAATTAAACTAAAAAAGTAGTAAGCAAATACACTACAAGACTCTATCGACGTCAATTAAGAATATGATGGATTACATGTTTAGGTCACATTTTAAAGATTGTAAAAAAAAAAAAAAAATAATTTGAAACCTACAAATTGAGAAGATGAGTCTTCTTGTCGATTGAGCTTCGGAACGATAGCGACTTCATTTTGATATTCATAAATGTCTAATCGATTATTTGAAAGCGTAATTTAATTTCTTGTCAAGTTTCATAAGTTTACTATTTAGAACTGATTATATAATAAAGGTTAAGTTTGGATTGTTACCTCAAATGTATCTATGTTATTTATAACCAAATAGGGTTAATGAATTTGTAAAATAAAATTTTCAAATAGAAAAAACTTGCACAACAATTTATTTTCTATTATTATTATTTATTTCTTTTCAAATAATTTTTTTTGTGAAAATAAAATATGATTTCCTCAAAGAAGACTATTTTTAGAATAGGTTCTCACTAAAATTTTCCAAAAGTAATGAAAAACTATTAGTTATATATATATATATATAAATAAAATAAACTTTTATTTTTTTAAAAAAAAGGCAATCTTATTATATTTATTATTTTTTCATACAAAATATTATATTCAAACGACTATTTAAAAAATAATGATAATAATAACAACATTAATGTGAGTAATTTCTTTTATAGCACAAATGATAGATTTATTTTTTTTTATTTTTTGCAATATAAATAGTTGATAATATTGTATAAATAAAATAACAAAAAGTAATTCAAATATAAGATAAATGAGGAATGTTTGAACAAAATCAATTGTACTTTGAGAATATAATATTTAAATTAAGTCTTAATAAAATTAAATATGTGATGTATCAAATCATTTTAATGAATTTCCACCCCACCCCACCCCACCCCCACCCCCCAAACCCTTTCTCAAAACATAGGATTAGTAATGCTTTTTGTGTGGGGATGTCCTAATTCAGAATTGAGATTGCTACTTTCAGTTGAGTCATTTCATGTCATTCCAATATAATTAAAATCAATTAATGTGACAACTAATTTTATTTGTCTAATTTCCATTGGAAAATTCCCTCAAACTTGTCATCATTACTAATATCTCATGAGTTGTACAATAATAATAATAATAATAATAATAATAATAAAGGGATCATAAAAGAAAAAATTATTTTTGTATCGAAAATTTTTTGTCCCTAAATCTATGTTTTTTTATTATTAATATCATTAGAGATAAAATTAAAGATGAAATTACGTTAGCTACGTGAACTTTAGGGACGAAATTCCATTACAAATATTTTATTTTATTTTATTTTTATGGATAAATAACTCAATAATTTTGATATTTAGTAAACAAAATATTGATGAGGAACAGTACTATTAATAGTGAGTCATGAGTTCAATTTTATGTCACATGTAATTAACAGCTTTTAGCCCAAAAAATATAAAATAAAAAAAAATATAATTGTGGGCATAAACAATTTACACAAATTAATCAATAAATACATAAAAAAAATTACTTATGATTCTGTCATGTTTAATGTTGCAATAAAATTTTATTCCCAGGGCATATCTTGGGTTTTGTCTTTTTCTTATGTCTTTTTCAAGTGAAATAGATGTTAAATGAAATGATTTTAACATGAAAATTAAATAGTTTTATATAAAACTATATATTAAAGAATTAAACAACAAATCGGTGGGGACCAAAAAAATATATAGTTTGATTATATTTAGACAAAAAATGATGAATTTTGATTATATTGAAACTAAAATTGATAAAAAAAAAAAAAAAATTATATTTGAACCAAAAATAATGAGTTTTAGTTATATTGAGACAAAATTGATGAATTTTGGTTATATTTGGACCAAAATTGATAAAATTTTAAATTGGGACTAAAATTGATAAATTTTGGTTATATTGGGACCAAAAATTATTTTTCCATTATTATTATTATTATTATTATTATTTGTCCAAAATTGGAAGAACTCAAATGCCCACCGATGGAATAGCCCAATAGGCTCCTTCAGCCCATTGTAGTTGTTCCTATTGGGCCTTTTAATCAGCTCAATTTGAATCACACTCGTTTTTTTCTTTTTTTAGTTTAGTTTTTAAAAGATCCAAATTATAATTTTATTTGTTTATTTTATTTTTTCATTACATATATATTTGTTGGTTTCTGGGGTGTTTGTTTTGTGAAAATTATTGATTTTTTAGGTAAATATAGATAATTATGTAAGAAATATAAAAGTAATGTATTAATCTTTGTAGGAAAACATATAGAAAAGATATTAAAAAGAACAAAGCCTTCTTATTTTGGGAAAATTCCAAACAAGATATGTGCAGATTTGTGAAAATGAAATCGGATGTAGGGATGTCAAATGGTGCGGGTTAGCCCCGGATCCACTCTTAATGGGGCGGGTTCAGGTTTAAATAATATGTTTCGGGACGGGTTGTGAATTTAAAATTTTAAATTCGGCCGGGTTACGGGTTTTACTAAAAATTCGTTCCAACCCGAGCTCGGATATTTTTTAAAATTATTATAACTAATATATATATGTACATTTATATAATAAAAATATATTATTTATTTATTTAAATAGTTTTAAATATAAAATTCAATTAGTCGTCTGCCCAAGTAATTTTTTAAAATTATTATACCTAATATATGTATATTTATATAATAAAAATATATTATTTATTTATTTTTATCTTATTATTATGGATCAATATTTGATTATTTTTATTTTTTTTGGTGCTTTTAATACTATTTTTTTAATATTAGATTGTTAAAAAAATATTTGTTATTATATATTTTTTTTTTAAAAAAAAAGGAGTTTGCCGGGTTAGCCCCGAACCCGGAGGATTTGAGGCGGGGCGGATCTTGAGGCGGGTCTCGGGGCTTGCATAACCCGTCCCAAACTCGCCCCTTTGACTTTCCTAATTGGATGAAAATGTTTGTTCACTTTGAGTTTTTTAATAAATATATTTTTATATTAAGAATGCAAAATTATATCGAGAAATTGAAAATGTTCAAATCAATTGAAGAGAAGCTTCAAGGGATACAAATATGTCAAGCTTATTTTAAAAAATTAAGGTCCGACTCTAGCCCTATTAGTTTGAAATAAAAGGACTATAAAGCTTGAGCCGACCTAGCTTTTTTTAAATTTGTTTAGTTTATAAGTCTATTTAAAAATTTATATAATAATTTATTGTTTATTTTTCTTAATTTAATAATAGTAAAAATATATATAAATGCAATATTATTTTATATATATATATTTATTATAGTTAAAATAAATTGATCTTATATTTGATGATTATCACTAAATTGATTTTTTTTAATATTAAATAATTAAAAATATAATAATTTTATATATTAAATCAAAATTATATATAAATATACCAATCGGTTTAATAAATATTTTCTTTTATAGTTCATATTTTGGATTAGATTCATCTCTATACTAATCGGATGGATTGAATTGTAGACATGAAAGCGTAGGAACTCAACCGGATCTCATAGACCTAAAAGACTTTTTATAATAACTAAATTTATTCTAGTTAATTAAATAAACTTTTTAAAATAAAACTAAATTGAATTGTCCTAAAGGTTGCCTAACCTCCATGAAGGTGTGTTTGTATGTGCATTTTAGTTTTTTAGTTTTGGTTTTTTAATTGAAAAAAATTTGAATTTGAATAATTATTTAATATTATATAAATAAAAATTTATTTAATATTTTAAATATAAAATAAATTTATAATAATAATATAAAAAATATAATTATTTAATATGATTTTTTTATTAAAAAAAATCAAAATTAAAATTAAGAAATATATATATATATATGTGTGAATAAAACCCACAAAAAACAACCTAAAAATTTCCTTGGTCTCTTAAAAAACTAAACATTATCCCTATTAGGCCTCTATTATTGTTAGAACAAAAGGTCTCGGATTTTCGTACATTGCTCGATGCTTGCAAGGCATCGTAATATTAAGACATTGTTGTTGTTCGCCTCCCTTAAAACCCGAACTTTTCGACAAGCAATAAGTCGAAGCACGGCCTCGACCATTTTCGGCGCGGCCGGAGAACGATCCAACTCTTCCCATCGTTGTTCTTTGTTCAGAGTTCCAAATTCAACGATCAAATTCACCCGCATACACCTAATTAGATTCATAGTTCATCGAGCTGCTAGCTCCACCATCGAACATCGAATCCGAAGTCTTGCTCTTCGACGGATCTTCCGAGCTCAAACTCGGCGACACACAACGCTCTTCCCTTCGACTTCGGCTTCCACTTCCAACCCCACATGCTAAAGGGACCCCTCGATCGATATTGCCAAATTCCGGAACTCTCCGGAAACTTGGAGACGAGAAGCATCCGGCTTGCATAGGCGGCACCGGGAAAATAGGACATCCCGGCACACCCATTCCGTATCCCATCGGCGGAAAATGAGGACCGCGCATGTGTTGCATTCTTGTAGGAAACATCATCTGCGGCATGTATAGCCCGGCTCCCATCGACATAATCTGTAATAAGTAGTAATAAGTGTCACCGCACATTAGCCGATAAACGACTACACTAGAACTACGGTCGACGAAATTCGCTTTACCTGCACTTGCAGCTGGAGGTACTTTAGATATTCGATGGCTTCGTCGAGCATCGAAGCTTTATCGACCTGAGGGAAACGAAACATTCGTATAACAAAATCGATATATATATATATGTATATATACATATGTTCGATTAGCCGGGAGCCTTATACCTTGCTGCAATTCGGTATGAGTTCTTGCAAAACCCGCATTTTCTCATTTATCCGATCCCTTCGTTTCTATCATTACAATCGACGTTGGCAATCATTGTAACAGACTCAAATCATAACAATTTTAATTATAAATAGAACCAAATCTAAAACAAGTTCATGGACATTGTAGAATACCCTTTCGGATAGATTATGCACTTCGGTTGCTCGGCTTCTCTTCGATCCATTGCTGGAAGTATCGAAATCCTGTCATACAAAAATAGAAAAAAGATGACAACATAACAAACAAATGCAATTGCCGAATTTGTATGTCATCTCTACTCACATCACTACGGCATTCGTCTTCTACATCGCACAACTTTCTCTTCGAGCAATGAACTTTCCCTCTTTTGTCTGCGCCATTGCCGGAGCATACAGAGGAAGTTGCAGCCACGGCCACGGCCTCGGCAGCATTGCTCCTAATCTCGATTTTTTTACCCGGCGAGGACTCTACCGGCGTTCTATCTTCTAATTTTTTAGGCTTGTCATTACATTCAGTAAGATTCTCGCCGGCCGGAATGTCATCGGCGGCCGGTCTCGAAAAATGTCGAAAATTAACTAGATTCGAATTAACGGGAGATTCTTTCAAATCAATGGCAGCTGGATCACAAGCAGTGGTTCTCTTTTCAAGAGATGCGCAGCTACTAGTAATGCCGGAGGTTCCGGTCAACAATTCGGAGAAGGGATTCTCCGGCGGAGCATTGGCCGCCGGGAAACTCCTCAGCCACGGCGGAGTGTCGCCGTGGTGAGCGTTTTCCGGCAAGTCGTCGCGAAACGTGGATTGAACTCCACAGAATTGGGTTGTAGCCCTTGTGGATTGAGATTGAGTTTGAGTTTGCATTTTGATTTTCCCATTATCCCAAACTAATTCAACCAATTCATTCTCACCCCTGCAAGAAGATGGAATGAATGAAATAACAAACACTTATGAAATTGGAAGATTAAATAAATCATACCCAGCAGAATTTTCAGATTTGGGATTTTCTGCACCGAATTTGAAGAGCTCTGAGAGAGGCATGGTGATGGTGGTTTGATTCCTACAAGGGGTAATCAATCCTGTTCATATGTATATAGCAAGAAATGAAAATTCCAATGATTAGAAAAGAAAACCCAGATGGGATTTGCTACATTTTCTTGCCCACCTAATAATAATAATCAGTGAAAATTAAACCAACCTCTTAGATCATCAACAATTTGTCTTTCCCCAAAACATATGAAAACTCTTGACTAAGAACAACCATGGGTTTATCGAACCCACCAAAAGCTTTCGACTTTCGCACATCCAAATGCCAGGATTTGATGGATATATATCTAAACATTATATATACACAGTATAGATACAGATATACATAAAAATCAATTTTGGGTAAGGCGGCGAAGGGTTCTGCCAATTTGGGTGAGTCGGCGAAATGAATTTTTATTTATTTATATATATAATTTGGGTGTTTTCTTTCTTCTGTGATGTGAGTTTGATGTTTGCGCTGTGTGGACGACAGCAGGCGATTCAGATAAACAAAATAAATAAATAAAGTAAAAATTAGTTCGGTATAAAAATGATACTCTTTCAGTTTCACTTACTAAGTCCGTTTCTGTATATCTCACATCTAATGTTATTTTTTTTAAAAAAATAATTATCCATCTTAATTTTATTTTAAATTTTTTAATTTAATTTTTTTAATTTTAATTAAACTAATTAATTATTTTAATTTTAATTTATAATAATTTATATTATAAATTAATTATTTTTAATAATATATTTTTAATTTTTTTTAATTATATTTATCATAAATTCTTGTCTACCAAAATACCCAATGTAGAAGGGAGGTAGTATTTGATAAAATATTTTATTAAAAAAATAATATTCCCTCCGTCTCGAACTAAATATCTATTTGCTTTGCACATAGTTTTAAAAATATTAGTATTATATTATGATATAATATGAATAAGATAGAAATGACTAAAATAATTTATTAGTATGTGTGATATAAAGGTAACGACATTTGTGTAATATATTGTAAGTTGTAAGAGTATTTGTAATGTTAAGTAGATAGTACAGTTACTAAAAAAAATGAATACTTTGTTATGGAACGAACTAAAATGAAAAATAAATACTTTGTTACGCAACGAACTAAAATGGAAAAATAAATACTTTGTTACGAGAATGAAGGATATAATTCAAATAGTAAAATTAAAAAAATAAAAATAAAAATAAAAAATAAAAATAATAATAAAAATTTGGAATTTCGTGTGTAGTATGAGTGAGATTGATTGAGTGCCAGACGGCAAAACCTCCGGAGAAGAGAGTGCACATACTTTGACGATTCTGTCCCCACTCACTCACTGTCAGTCAAACTGTCACTCAAATTAACGTAATCAGAACAGAACCGATTCTGGAAACATCCTGGACCTCGACAACGTGGGCCCGCTCGTTCTTGGTACTCCACACTCCATTTTAAGTTGTTTGTACACAAGTGTAGGGGTGAGCATAGGGTTTAGTTCCGTTCAACAAGAATTTTTTCGGTTCGGATTGCTTTGTTTGAATTATTCGGTTAATTGATTTAATTCGATTTAAAATTAAATTTATAAATTTTGATTTTGATTTGATTATAATTTTTAATTTTGATTAACTCTCATATACAATCAAATATAAATACTTGAAATTATAATATATATTATTTATTTATATATAATTTATTATTATTTTTAAAAATTCAATTTTTTCGATTTTAAATCGAACCGATTTATTTAATTTTGAAAAACTTTTGTTTAATTTTAATTTCAACCGAAACCGACCAAATGCCCACCACTGCAAATGTGAGTACGTCGGTTGCGGGGATTATCTCTAGGCACTCAGTTTTATTATTTATTTTTATAAAGGCTATATAGTTCTTTTCCTTTTGAATTGGGTTTGGTCATTTTACTTTTTTATTACAATAATAAGTATTTAATATAATTATTTCGTAAGAATTTTTTGTTTCTAGAAAAAAAATATATAAACTAAATAGTAAATTTAGTATAGAAATTGAAAATAAAAGTGTGTTTGTTTCATCGGGGATTTAATTTTTGAGTTTAATAGCGAAAAATTTAATTTGAATAATTATTTTAATGTGAATATTAATATGATATTTTGAATATAAAATAGATTTTTAGTATAATATCAAAAATTAAAAAATAAATATTTAATTTAATTTGATATTTTTCAAAAGAAAAGTAACTAAATAGTAAAATTTTATGAAAAATCTAAAAAATAATACAGTAATAAAAATATTTTTCTTTAAATTTTTCAAAAATAATCACCATTCAATTAATTTATATTTTATTTATATTATACTAAAAAAATAACTTTATATTCAATATATTATATTCAATCTCATAAACTAACTATTCAAATTTAAAATATTACCGTTAAAAATTCGAATATTCGTACAAGCACACCCCTTTTCATTTAAAAATTAATATTTTTAGATAAGTTTAAAAAAAAATCAACATTTTTTCAATTATTACATAAAAAATTTAAAAATAACATATGCTTTCAAATAATACGGTACATATTGTATTATTTAAATAATATTTGTTGTCTTTATATATTTAATTATATTGTATTAATATACTTATTCCCTCCGTCCCACGTACCATGTCCAAGTTGTCGTCTCTATCCGTCCCGTATACCATGTCATTTTTCTTAAGGAAAATGATTACACATTTTAATCTCATTTTAAATTTTTTAATTTTATTTTTTAAAAATTTTAATTAAACTAATTAGTTATAGAATAATTATTTTCACTAATATATTCTTATTTATCTACTAATTACCCCCCTCATAACATACAGTGTCTACAGTGTAGCAGATACAGTATTACCGTGGGACGGAGGGAGTATGTGTTAAATCAATAATATTATATGTTACATAAAATATACGCTCACAAATATACATATTTTGAGTTATTGAATAACAAAGTAGTTATTTTAAAATACTCTAAAAAAATTTACAAAATATCCACTATTTTATTATCATATCATTAATTTTAAACTAAAAGACATTCACAAAATTATTTTTATACTATTTTAATTGCTCATAATAATTAAATACTATTATTTTTTAAATTTTGTGCAAAATAATGATTATTTTTAAATTAGACGGACATAGTATTATATGCTATTAGTTTTTAAATATTGTAATTATATTATATTCTTTTAGTTTATTCACAAAATATACATATTTTTTTTTAATTTGTTCAATTACAAAATATTTCATCCGTCTCAATACAATAGTCTTGTTTATCATTTTTGTCCGTCTTATTTTCATAAATAACTATATCACTATAAAACTACTCTTACTTTTTCATTACAATTACACAATTGTCACTAGTGACAAAAAAAAGTCTTTTATCCATATTTTTTACCTACTACCAATATAATATCAATATTCCTTAAATCTCGTATCAAATATAACCCAAACTATAGTTTTAGGCCGGAGAGAATAATTGTTTTTAAAATATCTCATTTTTTTTTACAAATACTTATATTTTACCATTACATTATTATTTTTACACTAAAAATTTTAAAATAATTTTATTTACACTACCTTTAATTATTTACTATAGTTAAAATATTATTATTTATTAAAAACTATGTACCAAAATAAATATATACATTAAAATGGAACGGATAAAAGTATTAATATAAATTATGTGTAATTTATAATCATTTGTATTGTCTTTTATAATATAATCTACTATCATCATTTGAATCATACTATAATTCAACTAATAGTAACTACATACATTTTTAAAATATATAAATATAAAAAAATTAGGGTTGGTTTGTTTTTATGATTTGAATTTTTTTTTTTATAATATAAAATAATAATAAATATGTATAATATATTAATTTTTTAAAAAAATATATAAATTTATTTTCACAAAACAAACAATTTATTACTTTTACATTGATCTATTTTTATTTTATTTATTTAACGACAAAATTTACAATCATAGAATTGCAGGACGTGACAGCCAATATATTTAAGAAAATATATATAAAAGATGAAAGGATAAGTAAAGCAGTGAAGATGGTGCAGTGCACCAGCTACGGCACGTGAGTGGGTCCCATTTCTCGACCGCCACGTGGACCCGATTCGACACGTATGCTATGGGTTGCCTGGGGAGCTGTCGTAGTGGACCCCACCTGGAAATTCATCATGACGTGGCTGAATCAACGCCGCAAAAAAGTGGGCCACGAACGGTCGAGATTTGAATTTGGAAGCATCATCGAACCAGCAGCCGTACGCGAGACCAGACGTCGTGCATGCAACAGTGGGTGCACTTCACGTGCGATCCATGCGGATCTCACGTGTCCCCTTTGTTACTTACCTTTTCTTGTTGAAATTGTTTTGGTACAAGATGTGACGCAATTTTTGTCACTCGTAAGATAAATTAATAAATAAATAAAAGGAAAATTTTAACAAAACGACGCCGTATTCGTTGCTGCAAAGGTGTTTATGGAGATCAGCCTCAGGAGTCAGGAAAGAAATATACTCCCCCTGTTCCATATAATTTGTTCATATTTTCTATTTACGTCCGTCCCATATAACTTGTCATTTCTATTTTTGGAAATATAATTATGCTTTTAAATTTTATAATTTTCAATTTTAATTAAACTATTTACTTATGTTAATCTTAATCTATAATTATTTTTACTAAATAATAATTATTTTTACTAATACACTTCTTAATTATTTATTAATTATATTTGACCTAAATTCTCGTATCTACCGTAATAGTCCCATATTTTTTGGGACGGAGAGGGTATAAAATTAATGCAGATGTAGAAATGTTCGTAGTTGGATAAAATCATTCAAAGAGTAACTGTTGTAACAAGCAAAATTAATGTTCAGGTCACCTATGACACACGGTTCACTCACTCAGTGTTATTTGTCTTTTCAAATCTAGCTTGCAGCGAATTTAATGTCCTATAATCAGAATTCCAAGAAATATCATCTAAAGAAGCAAAATTTATCTCTTGATTTTTGCTTTTTTCTTTAGTAATTTCATCACACCCAATATGACATACAAGATTTTTATGATATTTTTGTCGTCACATTCTTTTTTATATGAACTTCTAACAAGATTTACAATACAAATTAAAGGATAAAAAAAGCCGCTTACTAATACATAATCATTTGAAATTGTAACAACCATTAATAAAAGTTTGTGAACAAAACAATGAACAATTACAACGGAAGAATTTTTAAGGTTGTTTGATTTTGAGGGGAGTTAATCAATAAGTTCCCTTACCTGGATAAATGTCATCAAATTAAACTTATCTGGATTTGAAATTTAAGATTTTGATACCATGTTAGATGAAGTAAATGATCGTCTTACCTAAAAATTTTAGCCATTAAAATACGCATAATTTATTTATTTATTTATCTACAAACAAAAGTTAACTAACAAAATTATCACTACAGTATACTGATTATAACTTACAATAGAAAATTATTACTACAGTATACTGATTATAACTTACAATAGATTTAGGTTTCGTTTGCACAATATTTTTATAAATTTTGGCACCAAGCAAGTTATAAAAATGTTACATTCAATCAATTTTTCTTTTACTCCAAAAATCTCTATTTAAACCTAACCTTAACTTTTAAACAAATAAATATTGAGTTCATTGGGTGTGTTTGTTCGGGGGTTTGGATTTTGAGTTGGGATTTGAATAGTAAAAATTTTGAATTTGAATAGTTGTATTATGTGATATAAATAGGTGTTGATGTGATGTTTTGAATGTAAAATTAATTTTTAGTATAATATAAAAAATGAAAAATAGGTGTTTGATATGATGTTTTTAGGGGAAAAAATTGGATGAACAGTGTAAATTCAATCCAATCCCTCGAACAAACAAATACAGAAAAATAGATGGATGTGCTGCCAATCTAAAGAAAATAATACTCTTAAAAAATATTTAATTTGTGGGCAATGATAGACTGTAGCACATCAGATACTATCATTATACAAATAATATTAGGACATATTCTATGGGTGTTTATTTTAGAAAATTAAGATGAATAATATTATTTTACTCACTGTAATCACGTATTTACTATAATTGTCACAGTATTTACTATAATTGTATTTACTATAATTGATTAAAGTATGTTACATTACTATGCTAATTAAGGATTAATTTAACTAATTAATATTTATATTAAAATTTATCTTATACTATGATATTATTATTTATTATTCAGGGTTGTTTTCATTTTTTGATTTTATTAAATATTTAATTTTTTTAATGCTTATTTTCTATATCATTAATAGCATAAAGTATAGCGTGCGTCCTTGCCGTTATTGGACATAACAATCCAACGGGCCTGAGCATATCATATGCTTTATTTTCTAAGAAAAATGGATATAGTCTTATATTTTCTCCCTCCCAACTAAATTGCCTTATTTAATTTAGGTATGAAGTTTTAGGTATTATATAATTAGTAAGTAATTAAAAAATATATTAGTAAAAATAATTATAATTTAATAAAAATACTAATTATAGATTAAGATTAAGATTAGTTTAATTAAAATTTAAAAAAATTATAAATTATTAATTTTAAAATATAATTAAAGTGTATAATTATATTTATAAAAAAAAGACAAATTATGTGGGACGGATGAAAAGAAAAAAATTGAACAAATTAAGTGGAACGAAGAACGCCGTTTTAATCAATTATTTTTATTAGGCATACCGTATTTAAGGTAATAATATTAAATGTTAATATTTTAGTAAGTTATAATATTATTTTATTATTTTTTATATAATTAATAAAGTTGATAGTTTTAAATAAATTTAATATATATGACTAAAAAAATTAGAAATATTAAAAACAAATATTGCAATATGCAATATGAATATCAATAATAAAATTTTCTACAATACAAGTAAATAAAAAATATATATTTATTTCTAAGTAATATAAAGTAATTTTTTACAAAATATATGGAGTTTTTAATATAGATAAAAATATTTATTTTTTGACGAGAGATATAGAAATAAAAAGATTTTGAATAGATTTATGATGTTAAATATTATGTAGTTAATTAACTTAATTTATATTGGTTAATATTTTCATTTAATAAATTTTACCGATTATAGAAAAATATCATTTTTTGGGAACAAATAAATAATAAAAAAAAGATGTCAATTTTGATAGGACAGATGAAGTATTATTTTACTTTATTTTATAAAATTATCAAAAGAAATATTTAGTTCTTATTTAATATATTAAAAAAAAAAATCTTCATTCAAAAATCAGATAGAAAAGTTATTAATATCATATAAAATTATTATTATTATTATTATAATTTACATATATAATACATTCAATAAATTTTAAAATAGTTTCATCACATATATTTCAAAAAGTTAAAATATATGTAACAAACGTTACGTTATATTTTTAATAAAAAATTAATATATGTGAATAAAGAAATATGGACAAAATTCTAATAAAATTTTGTTCACATATAAAAATTTTCTAATATATATAATTTTTGCGTACACAAAATATTTTTAATAAAACACATCTATATATTAAATCAAATAATCATAAATATAAGTACATACCAAAAAAGAACTTAATTTATGAACTTTGAAAAATTAGTAGTTAAGCGGTGGACTGAAACAGCAGCCAATCTGCATCCACCACGTGGCTTGAGCTCTGCTATAAGTAATCAAACCGTTCCTCTGGAGTCTTCATAATTAACTAACAATCGTTCTTCAGAGTTCAGAGCGGAGAAAACTAGAAAAGAGGTAATTACATTCAGCTGCTGTTAAATTTGGTCGGTGAATCGATTCGAAGAAGATTGTGGAATGGGGACTGCAACTTGTGTTGATATTCTGGTGGCGATTCTTCTGCCTCCGCTCGGTGTCTTCCTCAAGTTTGGCTGCCATGTACTGCTCTCTTCTCTGTTCATTTTGCTTGTCGATTTTAATTCGATCGTTTTTTGACTGTTTTGAGTTGTGGAATGTTTCGGATAGTTTTCTGCTGCTCTGTAATTAATTTAGATTTGGATTTAGGAATCGATTAGTTTCAGATCTACAATTTTGAAGATTATAATCGAATTTTTGGAGTGGTTATATGATTTCGATCATTTGTTTTTCGTTTTATCTGATTGGATTGAGGTTAATCAATAAGAGTATAATGGATTGCAGGTTGAATTCTGGCTGTGTTTGGTTCTGACGCTCTTTGGTTATCTCCCTGGGATCATCTACGCCATCTATGCCATCACCAAGTATGTGTATCGTCATTTCCTTCCTAATTTCTATTTTAAATGCATAATCATCAATCACAGTTCAAGTATTCAAGCATATCGAGCATATTACCCTTCCATTGGCGATTTTTTCCTGTGAAATTCCTTCAAACAGATTTTTAACTGCTTAACCGTTTAAAAAATGTGTATATGAAAAAAAAAAAAAAAAAGCGAGGAAAATATTGCTACTCTCATTTTCAACTACTATAATTGCTATTAATTTAAAATAATGAACAATAAAAAAATGCATAGCGTATACAAATTTGTGGTCTCTCGTATTTTATTACGCTACAGCCTACAATCAAATACTACGTGTCTATTTTTTAAGATAAAAAAAGAGAAGTTTCCTGAACATATTGATGAAGAAGGTTATTCTATCGTGTGCTGTTTAATTTTTGACAGGTAATTAAAGTTGGGTATGGCAGAGTAGGGTGGGTGGGTATATTCCGTCTTTGCTGGAAAGTTGTGGTTGATTTAATTTGCTTTATGGATCCAGTTTGGCTGATTGTCTCTTTCTTCTTTTTCTTTATATATATATATATATATATATATTTTAAATATTTCAAAAAACATTCAGCATGATTTGATTGTATGTATCATAATATGTGATTTAGAGTGTGTTTCTTTTGATTACTTCGAAAAAAATTTGGTTTAAATTTGATATAAAATTAATGTTTGATTAGAATGTTTCTGAGAACAAAATACTCCTCCATCCAGAAAAGATGTGTAGGCACAAGAATTAAAGAATAATAATATTTAATTGAAAGTGAGTATAAAATAGAAAGTAAAAAAAAAAAAAAAAACTAAAATACCTTTACTTTTTAAATGATTCATAATTAATAAATAAGAAAACAAGAATTGTTTTGGGACGAAGGAAAATGGAAAAACAAGACTAACTCTATTGGGACAGAGTATATATTTTTTTGGAAAAACTAAATTTTGCTAAAGAAACATTGTTTATATTAATATATAGATTTAAACATAATTCAATAAATTAAGTATAACTTAATTCTAAATATGCAATAAATGTTTTGAAGAAATGATTGGTAGGTTTTGAATTGAAAAATGAATCTAGTTTAGCTTTAATCACTTTGCTTTTAATTGTCATCAGCCAAACAGATCTATAATGGAATAAATATAAGATATAATCGTGTTATAGTTATTAAACTATCCCACCGACGAAGAAAATATGCTCTGCGTGTCTTACATAGACATTACACAAAGTCAGGGGGTCAATAAATCAAGCTAGCAAGTTTGTTGGAATTTTATTTTATTTTATTTTTTCAACGCTGTGATACTCCAAAGTACAGCAAATCCTTTGATTGCCATTTTTCAAGAATATGTACCAATGTTTAAGAATATTTAGAATATTGTATATTATTACAAAACCAGTTGAAAATACAAAAGTATTTTAATAATAAAGTGATAAGAGTTTTGAAATTTTTTGAAAACGTAACATTAAAAAGTTGATATATTTAATATGGTATTTTTATGGAAAAAAATATATATATTTGATGTGATTTTCTTTTTTATTATTATTGATATGAATATCAATAAAAAAATTTCAAAAAGTTGTATGTAAACAAGAAGCATCTCCATACTCATAAATATAGAAATTTGATATCGGTGGATGAATATATATTTATTATGCAAAATTTATTTTATATTCAAAATATAAAATTACTCGCCTATTAATATTTTATTATATAATATTGAAATTAAAAAGAAATTAAAAATTTAAAACTCTAACTCTAACATAACCCTCAGATCAATTATAATACTCTCTCTGTTCCATAAAAAGAAGTTGTCATTTTTTACTTTTATAGTATAAATACGAGATTATTATTTTCTTATTGATAACTGTACTGTCTATTTAAAAATATTATAAATATTTTTATCGTTTACAATATATTACACAAATAATTTTATATCACAGAATTAGAATACTTACACGGATACACCATAATACCAGTATTCAATAATCCACATGCATCCAATAAAAAATAATACCTGGTAGTGTGGGTAGGACCGTGAGGTCATGGGTTCAAACCTCCGATGCCTCTAGCACCTGCCACGGTTTGCCTAGTGTGACTTGTCTGTCAAACCTAATTTACAAGGTATTAGATTCGGCCAAAAGTTTATCTGTGCGTCGGAAGTAGTCCTAATAATAATCCACATGCAACGTGCAAAACAAACGATCATCTTATAAAAAATACTTTAAAATTCTATTTAATCAACATAAAAGAAAGATGATTGATAAATGAAAGGGGACAGCTTCATGGGCTTGAGTAATGGCGGGTCAAAGTTATCACCGTGGGCCATTGGTCCACGTGTCAATAGTAAACAGCCGCCACGTGTACACGTATCGAGGGGGTGCGCTGTACCTGTACGCGATCATTGTCGTCATCATCAATCATCCTTCTCACGATAGAAACAAACGAAACTGTGGCGGGGGGAAGGAGGAGCAAAAGCGTCTCTGTGACTCGCGCACAACGCCAGCAAATCAGGATTCAACACGTGGCCACCACTACCTAACTTCTTTCCCCTACAAATATGCCCCAACTCCCCTGCTCTCCCCCTCCCATTTATCTTCAGTTTCGAAATCAGCTCAGAGAGAAGGCAGAGTTCAGTGATCGTAACTAAGTAGTGGAATTTCGAAGCAGCGAAATCGAGAATGGGAGACACAGCGACGTGTGTTGATATTATTCTGGCGATTCTTCTGCCTCCACTCGGCGTCTTCCTCAAGTATGGCTGCAAGGTAAGTATTACTTGGCGTTTTTCTGTTTTCAGTTAGGTTTTGGAATTTTTGCTGTTTATGTGTGCTTCTGTATTGTTAATTTGTTGATTGTTAGATAATTTGTGTTCTTAATCGAAGCTATTTTTAACTGAATGGACGAATCGCTGTGTAGAAATTTGTAGTTTCGAAGGAAGGAGGTCTGAGAAGCCTGTAGAGTTGTTGTATTTAGAAATTTTGTAGTGGATAGGCTAAATTTGTATGTGCTTGTAACCTAACTGTTTTGAGCACTGCGAATTGCAGATTGAATTCTGGATTTCTCTGCTATTGACTATCCTTGGTTATATACCTGGAATCATCTATGCTGTTTGGGTCATCACTAAGAACTGATCCTCTGCTCTAGGTAAGCTTGATTTGGTTAGCCTAATATCATTAGAAAGCTGTTTGAATTGATCAACTTCAGAGTCTCAATTCTCAAACCAGTGTTTGTCACAACAAATTATACTATTTTGACAAGAAAGTAAGATCAAAACCTTGATTCAATTATGTGTATTCAAATTTTGATTTTCTGCACCGCAATGTAGAGTCTAATGATTTTATCATTACTGTGTTCTTTGTTATCTATTTATATTTATTGATTGAATAACACAGCCCTGACAGATCTTTATCCAACTCTTTTTGTTTTTTCAAACTTACTGATCAAATGAGAAAATCTACAACAGAGAGTTTAATTTGATCATCAATTATAGGCTAAACAGAACATACAATAATATTTACTCAAAATATGCCAATTACTAATAATAGAGGTTGCATGAACATAAGAAAGGTATCCAATTCTTTTTCTGTTTGGCAGGACAAAAGATGCAAAAGGGAATTTCATATATTTAATTGGTGGACAGATATAGATTATTTATATATGGTTATTGATTTGTTTGATGGTGTTGAGCTGGAAGCTCCTCTCTTCTTTCCTTTCCCTTTTGACCCCTTTTCTTATGTGCCAAATCTCTTCATGATTTGATTTGATTTGATTGTATAATATAATATAATATATCTGCATATATATATTATATGATTGTATTGTTCTCTTGTTAAATATTGATCGAGTGATTTGTAGTCGTCTATTATGAGCCTTGGGTAGGCCACACTGTGTATAAACTTTGTATGTATGTATGTATGTTTGCTTATTGAATATGGGATGTTCCTTGCCTGTCTTTATTTGCCTCATTATTTGTCATTCAATTCATCTTATCATCTATAGAATTAATATTTAATATTTAGAATTATGAAGCATAATAAATTTTGATTAGGTTATTGTCCAATATGGGAGGCTATTATTCTGCCGACAGCACTACATCAATATTAATTTATATTATATATCATACAACTATTTTAATTTAAAATTTTTACTATTTCAAAATCCAAATCTCACAACCTAATGTTTCTATTCTAACATGCGTGTGAACAAGCTGCTGTTCCACTGGTCAACATACACATCAATTATCTGATCTCAGTTTATTATCTTCACAGAACAATCAATTATTAAGGCTTCGTTTAAATATATTCTTTGAAGTTAGCTCAAGTTTTGAAATTATATGGGGTTTGTTTGTTTAGTATTTAGGTTTGGTTTGAGATCTGTTTTTATCTGATGATATAAAAAATAATATTTTGTATTTGATTTATTGAATTTTGTGAAAAAATATCTAAATATTATATATATTCAAAATTTTGTAAAAATATATATATATATATATATCTGGATGAACAAACCCAAGAAATAAAAAAACAATAATAATATTTGATAGTTTTGTTTAGGAAATAAATATTTAGGATAATAGTACTATTTTTTTTAAAAAAAAGAAAACATAAAATTTAATTGTAAATAAATAGAGACAAACATGACTTAAAAAAAAAAAAGAGTTTGTTTAGACAGATGTTTTTGGAGGTTTTTGAAATTTTGAAAATTTAGAAAAACTAAAAAAATAGTATTTGATTTGATATTTTGTCCAAGATAATACGATGATTTTTTTAAAAATGAATAGTATCAAATGAATAAAAATATGTTGGATAAACAAAACCTAAATTGGCATTTGAGATCTATCTATCTTATAATCTGTAGTAGCTTCCATTTTGCCATTTTGGGTTCAATTTGTTAAATAGTAGTAGTAAATTCAATTTCTGAATAAGTAAAAGGAAAAATTGTTAAATAATTTTACTTTCTTTGTACAATTCAATGTATATTTTTAATTATAGTAATATAATTATATTTAAATGTTAGAATAATTCAAACTTGTAAAAAAAAAAAATCTATTTCATTTATACTTTAAAGATAAAAATATCAAAATCATTTTATATAATTTTATTATTTTTTAATTTACCGTAAAAAAAAAAAATAATTTAATACAATAGACTAGAGTAATATGAAATTGTTAAAAGTTTATGACTCTATGTATTTATATTTTCAATTTAAAAAATTTATTATACTCCATCTTATAGTATTATATGTATATTACTACTATATTTTAGTTTTTACTAATTTTAAAAAAATTCAAAATATATAGTCAAAACACATCTAAGAAAATTTGTTATTTTGTCACTTTGAGTTTTCTAATAAATTAAATAATAATAATATCTTATTGATTAATAGAAATAGGTAAAATATTTTGATATTATTTATTTTTATATATAAATTAATTATATGTATAATTATATATTTGAAATTTATATAAAAAATAAAAAATAATTTATTACTCCCTCCGTCTTAGAAGAGACGTTTTATTGAAAGTTGACACGAAAATTAAAAAATAATAGTATTTAATTGAAAAAAATATAAGTACTATGTAAAAAAACTAAAATGTTCTTACTCTTTAAGGACTTTAAAAATTATGTTAGAATAATAATTTAGGGTAGTTTAAGAATAATTTTGTTATAAAGTGAGACTACAATTATTAAATAAAAAAATAAGATTATTGTTTTGGAATCGATGGAAATAGAATAATAAGATAATTTTTTGAGACGGAAGAAGTATTAATCTATGATTATTTTTACTATAATTAAAAAAATTTAAAAAATATTTTGAATTAAAATAAAAAAAAAATTAAATAATACAATATAAATACAAGCCAAGAAGTAGGTTCATCCCTCTATAATACATCTATATTATACCAATGTTTTAAAATTTAAATGTAAAAAGTAAATACATACATTAGTTGCATATGCAAGAGATTTATTCTATTTATCTGTGTCTCGGTCGGTCAAGATGACCCATGTAGTTAATGATATGATATTTATATAGTTTAAATTAATAAGTTATTAATATTAAATTATAATATTATTTTATTATTTTTTTATATGAATAGTGTTGTTGATATTTTAAATATTTTTAACATTATATCTCAATAAAATATAATACCATATAGATATAATTTTGTAGAGAATAAAAGTTTACATAATACGAAAATATTTATTTATTTATAATTAATTTAAAACTAATTTTATAAAAGATAAACAATTTTAAATATAGATAAAAATATTTATTTATTAAGTATTAGATAAATAAAAATAAAAGATTTTAAGTAAATCTTATTGGTAAGAAGTTAGAAATTTAATTAAATTATTTTATATTTGTTAAATAGAAATAAATTTATTAAAAATAAAAATATATCATTTTTTATTGGACGAGAAAACAAAAAAAAAAAGAAAAGAAGGAGAAGGGGTAAAATGTGAGATAAAAATGTAGTATATCTAAACATTTTATATTTTAAAAATCTTGTAAAATGTTTGGACAGACTTAAAAAAAAAAAAAAAAATTGCTGAGTGTTCAAGACAAGACAGGGAATCCAAATAAATTACTACTACTAGAAATAAAGCACAATGATAGCTGTAGTACAAAATTAACATTGGATCCCATTCCCAGAAGCAAACCAATTGATTAAGAACCAACCCTCTTTAATCCAAGGAATTGTTTGTATAAAAACATAGTACATAACTAACTAGTAGCACCATTGAAAGCACAAATCCAAAACAGGGATGTGAATGTGAATGTATTGATTCCATCCATGATCGTCTTGAAGTTGTTCATCATCCTTCTTTGAATTGCCACTCCCGACGGCACATGGGACAATGTGCTTGAGGGGTTTGTGAATTCACCCACTTCAATATGCAGTGAAGATGGAATGCATGGTTGCACGATCCCCATACTGCCAACAATCAATTCACACAAAACAAATAGTAATTAAAAAAACTAGTATTTGATGTCATATTTTAAAAATTATTATTGTGGATGAATAGTATCGAAAAGTTTGTGTAAGTAGAGCGAGAATCTCTTTTTCTTGGCCTTACTCAGAGGGCAATCATCTCCCGGGAGTTTGCAGTCGGGGCAACACCCGTCAAACGCCATCCGGCAAATCCCACAAGTTTCGTCTTGGGCATCCCATGTCCAAGAAGCAACCGCATGCCACCTGAAAGTGGGAACCAAAAACACCTCAGTTTAGTTATTCATTTGAAGTTTAAGAAACTGGAAATTCTTCTAAGAGAATAAGAAGCATACTCTATCCATACCGCCAGGCGAATTTACGCACGATCTGGTCAAGGAAAATGTTCATCCAAACACAAGACTCAAATTCTATGGCATATGAGAGTTGTAAGATGCAACTACAATGATGAATTCACCTGATCTCTATAATAGAGGTTACTGGGCAAAATCTTCTCAAAGGTTTAATGGAGAGAAAATAGAATCTAAATTTGGGAAAAGGAGACTTCTATCAAAAATTCTAAAATGATAAACTACATACTAATAATCAAGAAACAATTCCAAGAATCTTGAATTCTGTATTGCTTCATCAAGCCATCAAATAATAATATAAACATAGTCACATTTAGAAGCATCATGGTCAGTGCAACATCCCTACTGAATTTACCAATGCCGATAACAAGAATCATGTAAAAATGTTTCACTTGTCACAAAACTACTTGTAGTTCAACCAGATTTGCCAAATCAATTTAGTTCCAGAATCTATGAAACATAGAAACATGGAAGCACACAAATAACATATCATACAAAAAGTGATCAAACAGAGATCGAAAAGTAATTAATCAAGGATACGTAAAATCTTGACTTTCATCTTTTTAGGCCCTGCAAGATCACAATCATATATGCAAAACTAATCAGAAATTCAAACCATCTGGAAACAGGGAAAATTAAACAATAATTTCCACGTTCTGCTGGAATTATACTTTCCTGAATCACATACAAAAATCCAATGATATAACAGAACAATTTTCACATCTCAAAGAGATCGAATTTAATTTATACAAAATTTGAGTTTGGTCAATCATTTTAATCTCAGTAGGCATTTCATCGAACACCTTATCGGCGACTAACTTCGTCTCACCCAACCCAAACATAGTACAGGAATTCAGTCAAATTGAATAAACCCATCATGTCATAACCAAATTACACATGGTATTCGCTTCCAACACTAAAAAGCAAGCCGAAAAAGGGAATCGATTCTCAAATAGTGAAATTAAGTTTTTAGGAGTTATGGAAAGAGTCGGAGGAGAGTACCTGAGGCAGTCGAGTTGGACATCTCCATTGATTTCCCCGAGTCGGCCATTGGCGAAGAACGCCGCAAGCTCTTCTCCGATTTCGACTCACACGAGTGACAGTTGAAGGAGAAGGCACCGTCTCGTCGTCCCTCTTCTTTTTGAAAAATCCTTGGGCAGAAGATCCGACCCGAATATATCGGATCCGGGTATTTGGATACCCATCAGACGGGTATAGTTATTTGGGCTTGTGGGCTTTAATTATTCACTGGGCCTTTTCTCATCACCATTCCTAACTATTTCTCCAACTCATAAATATAAATAGTGCATCTCATATAATATACTTAAACATACTAATTTAACCATAATTAAATATGAGTGTAATTTTATAATATAAAAATTTACTGTATGATATTTTTATAAATATTATTAAAAAAAATATAATCTATACATGTATTAAGGCAATATATATATAATACTTCTCCGTTCCAAAACAATAGTCTCATTATTTTGCTATTTTTTCTGTCTCAAAACAATAGTCTCATTATTTTGCTATTTTTTCTGTCTCAAAACAATAATCTTATTTCTATTTTTAGTAACTACCTCACCAACTTTTCTATAAAACTATCACCACCTTTTTACAATAATTATATAAAGTAGGAGTATATACATTTTATTTATTTACAAAAAAATCTAAAATTCAATATACAAAATATATTTTTTTATATTATGGACATAATTCTTCATATATAACATGAAAAAAAAAATACATACATCCAAACATACAAAGTAAACACACTCTAAAATTACATATGAAAAATTGCAAAATTAAATATTCTCTATGTCCCATTTGAAAGGTTATTATTTTTCATTTTCGTTCGTTCCAAAACAAGGTTACCATTTTTTAAATTAGTAATTGTACTGCCTATCTAACATAATAAATATCCTTTCAACTTACAACATATTACACAAATGTCATTATTTTTATATTATACTATACTAATAGGTGTATTTTTATATTTTTTACTACAATTTAATATAATATTAATATTTAAAAATTTACGTGCAAAAAGCAAACTCCACCATTTCATATAAATAGTAATGGTACGGATGTATAAAAAATTATCAAACTATAAAAGTTATGTCGAATCACATCGATTCAATACTGTTTCCTTTTTTAAGTAAATAATAGTTAAAAATATATTTTATCAAGCATAAATTATAGTAGACAATGGTGAAAATGTTAAAACGTGTGTTCTTTAAATTTGGTTTTTATTTTTCTATTTGAATAATAATTTAGATATAATATTTTGTTTGATGGAATAAAATATCTTTATACAAAAAAAAAAAAAAAAAATTATGATAGTTGCATATTAAGAAAAAAATAAAACTAAATTGGTCTTGATTTCAAATTTAATTGTTATTTAAATAGTAATTTAATATAATATTTTATTAGATAATATTCTCTCTTTCACATATAAAAATAACATTTTGATTTTGATAATAAAATTTAGATAGGTAAAATAAAGTGAAAATTAGATGATGTGATTGAAGAAAATATATATACTTATTTTTTTATTTGAATGGTGCGAACGATAAAATAAATTGTATTAATTATTTTTTATTTTAAAAATATTGTAAAATATGTAAAACAAACCAAAATAGAAAATATTGTATGATAGGTAGAACGAAGGAAGTATAATATATTTTTATGTAAATAATAATAATAATAATAATAATAATTTTTATTTAAAATAAAAAAATAACTAGACCCTTTGATTTTTGTTGAAAAGTAAATTTGTATGGGCTATGGGTAAGTGGAGTTGGAGGAATATGAAGCAAAATTCCCAAACTTTACATAATATTCTCATGTGATTCTTTGTAGTAAGTATTTGGTTATGCTTAAAAGTCCCAATTTTAATATGCCACCTGAATAGTATGCTGGTTTATTATGATTTTTGTGGGTACACATTTTAAATTTTAATAAGTTGTATTTTGTACTCTCTCCGTCGCGCCACAGATGATCCATTTTTTTTTATACGTTTCACAAAAAATAACCATTTTTTATTTTTTGTAACTTTATCAATGTTAAACATACTTAACAAATATAAATCAATCTAATTAAATTTCTAACATCTTATACATAGACCTACTCAAAACCTCATTATTTCTATATCTTTCCTCAATTAAGTAATTTTTTTATCTATATTTAAAACTCATCATTTTATAAAACTAATTTATAGTAATGATAAATAAATAAAAATATTTTTATTTATTTGTATTATATAAAATTTTATTATCTATAAAATGATATTCATATTGCATATATTTTTTTGAGATATAATCTTAAAAAATTTTAAAATATCAATAATATTATTCATATAAAAAGTAATAAACTAATATTTATAACTTATTATTAATAACTTACTAATTTACACCGTCTAAAAACACGTGTCTAATAAAAGGGTCCATCCTCACTGGACGGAGGAGTATTTAAATAGTAATGTTTGGGGAAACAAGCACATAGTATACAGATCCCAATTCTTTTATGTTTTTAGTATATATGGGATTTGTAAAATTTTAATATAAAATTGAGTTGTTAATATATATATATATATATATTTTTTTTTAATGCTCACTTTTTGTGAGAGAATAAATAATACTTCCTGTGTAGATCACATGTTTATATCTTTTTAGTAAATTTATTTATTTTAAATATATTTAATAAATATAAATTAATTAAATTAAATTTTTAACTTATTCCAAGTAAATCCTTTTATTTTTTTATGTCTCTCTTAATAAATAAATATTTTTATTTATATTTAAAATTACTATTTTTATTTATAAAATTAGTTTTAAGTTAATTATAAATAGTTGGTAAAAAAATATGAGTAAAAGATTTTTTTTGGCAATAATAATGAAAAAATATGATAGTTTTTTGGCAATATAAGTATTTAGAAATAATATTATTATTTTGGGACGGACAAAAATAGTAAACAAGATTATTATATTGGGACGGAGGGAGTATAAAATTTTATCACCTACAAAATAATATTTATATTGTATATATTTTATTAAGATATAATCTTAAAAATATTTAAAATATCACGAACAAGACTCATATAAAAAATAATAAAATAATATTATAATTTATTATTAACAAGTTGCTAATTTACGTTATCTAAAATGAAACAAGCTCAAATGTTTGATGTATTGCATTATGGTCTTATTTTTAATGAAAATAATTAATGTTTGTTTAGTTGGTAAATTTTTTAGCTTTTTTTTTTGTTATAAAAATCTTTACAATTTTGTATAAAAATATAGTCACTTCATGGGTCTACATTTATCTTTTGCGTCATTATACTTAATATTAAAATATTATTATATTTGTATAATTTTTTATACAAATATCATTCTATTAGTATTATAAGACACTAATGAAAGTATTTTTGCAATTTTTTTTTAATTTGTACTATATTTTGATATAATAATTAATATTAAAAAATCAACAAGTAAAAAGTAAATGGAATTCTTAGAGTCGAATGAAAATAGTATTATCTTATGTTATAAAATACTATCACATATAAATTTCTTTAATAATATTATTGTAATTTTCAAATAAAAATATTTGTGAAATATGTTATAGTGAAAAGTGAATCTTATTAGGGTGTGTTTGGTTGGTGGATTGGATTATGGATTTGGATTGTGGAGGATTTTGAAGTATGAATTTTTAAGTTTTGTTTGTCTGGGAGTTTGAATTTTGTAATGATTATGAAGAATGAAATTATTATTTTGAATTTTGTAATTATTATGTAGGATAAAATTATTATTTTATTGAAAAAAATGATATATTGATGTGATAGTTTGAAAGAGATGATATTTAAATAATATTTTATTGAAAAAAATGATATATTTAAATTTTAAAAATTTATATTTTTGTTCTTTATAAAAAAATTTTAAATTTCTAATTATTATTCATATTTTGTTTTTGCAAAAAATATCAAATCAAATACATATTTTTTACTTTAATAATATACTAAAAATTAATTTTATATTTAAAATATTACGTCATTGATGTCAATATCTATTTATATCACATTATATCATTATTTTAAATATAATTTAAATTTTTTTTAAAAAAAATAAATATCAATATATAAAAATAAAATAATATTTCCTCTGTCCCATTGAAAGGTTGTCATTTTTCATTTTCATCCGTGCCAAAACAAAGTTAACCATTTTCTAATTTAATAATTATACTACCTACCTAACATAATAAATAACCTTCCAACTTTCACTATATTACACAAATACCATTACTTTTATATTACACAATATTAATAGGGGTATTTTTGTCTTTTCCATTACAATCCATTATAATATTAATATTAAAAAATATACGTGCAAAAAATAAACGACAATCTTACACCGGGACGGAGGGAGTATTATCATTCATTTTTTCCTATCACTTATAACTATTTTTATAATTATTAATATTATTATTATTATTATTACTTTTTAAAAATATAAAAAATAAAAATTTACACACATTCAGTGTTGTAAATGCAGGAATATTAGAAAGAGAGAGGAGTAAAAAATTCTATTCAAAGCATGTGTAATTTGTTCCCTGCAATAGTATTTTGACAGTACGATGGTAACAGAATAACTAATTAATTGAAGATCTATCATATATGGTAGGTTTTGAATAGTGTATTTCAATACAATAATTTAATAGTAATTTTTTTTTAAAAAAAATTCCGCCAACCGAATACACCCTTAATATATTATATACTCCCATTCGTTTATTATATTTATGACTGTTTATATATATATATATAATATGCATTTTCAATTTATAGAAAATAACTATTATACTCTTTCATTTTTATTTTTTAATATTAAATTTATTTACATAAATACCACAATTACTATTAATTCAATTATTAAAAACTTTATATCATTTTATTAACTTACTCATATATATATATTTTAAATATTTTACAATATTTAATATCACAATCAATTGATATAATAGTAGTATTAATTAAAAATTATGTCCAAGTCAAATGCTTGAAATAGAAACAAATGCATCAAATATTAGTGGGGTTGTGCTTTAGATGTTTTTGGATAGTTTTGATAATAATAAAATTATGCATTGAAATAATTCTTAGGTGATATTTTGAATTAATATATATATATAGTTTTTTTAATTAAAATAGTATATTTGAATTAATATAAGCATAAAAAAATATATTATTATAGAGAAATAATATTAATTGTGTGTTTAAAAAAAAAAAAAAAAAAAACAACAACACACAGAGCAGTGCAATATATATTAGCTACGACCATGTTTTTAGCTTTTTTTTTTTTTTTTTTTTATGCTTTAAAATAGTCGCTATTTATGGTACTTTTAGCTTGTGATTATTACTCCCTCTGTCCTTGTTTATCGTTTTTGTATGTATTAAAACAATAGTCTTATTTTCATAAATAATTATATCACCAAAAAATTATCCATAGTTTTTCATTATTATTACACAATTGCCATTACTTTTTACACTAATATAGTCACAAGGGCAAAAAAGTCACTTAATCCTTACTTTCTACCGACTGCCAATATAATACTTCCTCCGTCCCAAAAGAGTTGTCTTGTTTTTCCATTTTCGTCCGTACCAAAACAATTGTCATGTTTCCTTATTTAGTAACCGTGGTCCCCACTTTATAACAAAATTATTTCTACTTTTTCAAACTACCCCTAATTATTATTCTAACATACTTTTTAAAATTCTTAAAAAAACGAGGATATTTTAGTCTTTTACATTCTATTTTATATCCACAACAAGACTCCTCTTCTGGGACTAAGGGAGGTGTCCAACAATAAAACTATACTTTTGGAACGTAGGGAGCATTATTATTATTATTATTATTATTATTATTATTATTATTATTATTATTATTATTTTAGTAACTTTTTAAAAACAGATCAATTTCAATGATTAATTATGTTAATTTTGATTCAAATCAACATAGGCATTGCTTATTCATTCATAAAATTTCAATGAAAACTATAACTTAAATAAAAAATAAATAAATAAATAATCCATCTCTGCCTTGAAATTTAGGTCTAAGAATATCTGATCAAATCATTGATGATATGTCGAGGGAGATTCAGAGGAGCTCGACACAATCCAAAACGATGGATATATATATATATATATCATATATAATGGAACTGACAACGACTAATACAAAAACAATTTAAATTTAAAATAAAAATCGATATGGAATTGATGCTGGATGTGTGTTGGGTGGATCACATAGGCTTATTTATATATATACCACCAAATTCATGATTCTTTTATTAGAAATTCTTTTGGTCTTTGTTTTTTAGTTAAAATAAAATAAAATATTATATTTTTAATGGGAACTATGCATATTAAAATAAATAATAAAAATTGAGATCACACAAACTCAAAAATTGTAATTCAAAAGTTTGTTGTGTTTTTTGTGATAATATTTATATTCACTCCTTCTATATATATATATATATATATATATATGACATTCTAATCATATTTCTTCAGCGTTTTTAGATGAATTAATTTAAATTATGTTACTAATATAAAAAATAATATTTATGTTGAATGATTAATTTTTTATGAGTGAGTGATAGATAGTATATTAATGTGCGTCTATATTTGTATTTTTTAATAATATTTATGAGAAATTGTTCTATTAAAAAATATTGAATGAACAGATTGATGGTAATACTTGGGTTGCATATATTTTTTGCGACTAAGAATTGAATATTTGACGATCTCTATAAATCTAATAATGTAACAAAACTAAACAAAAATGTTTTGCCGATATGTTTTTTAGTTAATTGTTACTATTTAAATTATCCAATTTATCCTAAAGCATTACATTGGATACTAATTTTCATTCGAAACGATGCATCAAACAACAATTTTAACAAAACATTCACACAAACAAATCCTCAACTTTCAAACAAGAAATAACAAATGCATATTACAATATAGAGCAATAATCAAAGAACCAATACATGTATATATATGTGTGTTATTGTATATAATACAAGGAAGAAACTAATCTAGCTAGAGAGCAATGAACAACAACAACAACAACATCCATGGAGATCTACGATCGGACCAACCAAATTCAAATTAACGCAGCAAACAAACTAAGCTAAGCTAAGCTAATCAACCCATATATGCAGAAATTAATCGATACACGAACCGAATGAATAGTGATGAATCGAAGCTTAATTAATTAAAGTAATAGCAATAATCAGTTTGTTTAAGTGTCGTAGATATTTTCCCACTTGTGAGTGGTGTGAGTGATGTAAGCCGATGCCTTATTATCGATTCCTGGCTCCGCTACCCACCGACCTCTGTCTTCGTCGCTCGGATACACCTTGTACGCCTTCACGCTGTACTCCTGCTCCTCCTCTATCGACCGCCGGCCGCCCTTGCTGCCTCGATTTCTGCCGCCGCGAAACATGCCGAACAGCGAGAATGACGACTGTTTCTTCTGCCTGCCGCTGTTTCCTGCCATTGCTATCTCCGATTGAATTACTTAATCAATCGATTAAACGACCTTCGATTGCTTCTGTGGTTTAATTCAGAAATTAGGTTTTTTTTGGCGAAGAAGAGAGGAGAGGAGAAAGAGCTTTCCGTCTGTGGCTGTGTGTAGTGTGTGTATGGCGTTGCAGTGAGCTTTGTATTTATACTGGGTTTCGGAAGATGATCCGACGGTGGGGAATTGGGGATGAGTTTGACGGCTCAGATTGCGTGGGGATGAGGCTGGATTGTATTAGGCATTATTTCATTTTTTAATTTTATTTTTTATTTAGTTTGTCGTGTTGTGCAAACTTGTCGAATGCCGCGTCTTTAAGGAGTATTTGGTTGGTAATATTTTTATTTGAAACATAGTCGATATTTTATGAAAATTAATAAAATATTTATAATAATTAAATAATAATTTTTTTCTAAAAAAAAAAATCATTACAAAAAAATAAACTATTTATTTGTGATTTTTAATTTTTTGTTTATGTTAGAGTGTTGACAAATAATAAATGAAAATAGTACATATAATATAGTTCTATTGAGTATTATTATTATTATGTAGTGTTAATTTTATTTCATATATATTGTATTAATATAATTTTGTGATTATTATTATTATTATTATATATTGTCAATTTAAGTGTTATATTCATATTACATAAATATATAGAATATATTGTTCATGTATACATGATGTATTGGCTGTTTATATTATTTATGTTTGCGCTATTGTGATGATCAACATAGTGACAACCGACATCTGTCAAAAAATTATACTAAATTATTTTTCTTAAAAGAAAAATTAATTGTGTTATTCTTGTGTTTTAAATATTGTTGCTTTTCATTATTATTTAGGTAAAAACAACACGTGATATTTTATGTACAAAATAGTATATATATTTTTATCAAAAGCAATAAAACTATCATGTAAAAATAATTGAATTTTGTTCATTGTTGGGGTGCAAACCTAAGTCTCACATTGGAAGTTGTGAAGAAAATTATACACTTTAGTCCCAAGTGAACTCTATTAGTACGAGGCCTTTTGAAGAATATCCAAAAACAAATTCATGCGAACTCAGCCCAAAGTGGACAATATCGTACTAGTGTTGAGTTGGTCCAGTCCCAACATTCATAATAGAGCATGTATATCCTATCTAGTATTACATTTTATTTATCTTTTAATTTAGTTAAAATGTTATGTTTAGATTTTATTTTGTTTACAACATCCAAAGTATTTAATATATACAAATTAGAATGTGTTAAATTAAATTTGACAATATATTTTGTTTTCATTTTCAGTACTCCCTCTATCCCAATACAATAGTTTTGTTTACTATTTTTGTCTATCTCAAAACAATAGTCCAATTTCCATAAACAATCGTATCACTATAAAACTATCCTTACTTTTTCATTATTATTACACAATTGCCACTACTTTTTACACTAATTTACTCACAAGGGCAAAAAAGTCATTTATCCATAATTTTTACCAACCACTGATATAATATCAATATTCCTTAAATCATGTGTCTAACACAATAAGACTATACTTTTGGGACGGATGGAGTATTTAATTTTTAAATTTTTTTATAAAAATAGTTTTTCTTTCATAAAATATAAAAATCAAACTACTATTTAAATAAATTTTCAAAACAAAGTTATATGTGTCATTATATCAGGTGTTGCTTGTTGTTACATAGTGTTAGTATATTATGTTGGATTAAAAAATTCAGCTCAATAATTGCTATTATTGTAAATATACATTGATACTAGACAAAATGAAGTATGATATTTAATGAATTACATTATTCTAACATTAGTAAAAAAATTTAATTAGCATGCACCAAATTCAATTTCAATAAATTAAAGTGACTTTTTGGAATAAATAATAGAATAATTTCATTTTTTATTTTTTATTTTATTTTTCAAATGTAGAAAACAAAGAAGAGAATATATTGTATGTTATTTAAGTAGAGCATCGAGGGTGATGAATCATTCCTCCAGGCTGGCTTCGTTGAGACTAATTTATTACTAATAAATTAATATTAATATTCCGAGACCACTTTTAGTAGTGTATAATATTGGTTAATTAAATAATAAATAAATATGAATCGCCAATAATTGAAGTAAAATTAAATAAATATATTATTTTGCATGGATTTGGATAATGAGTTGGTAATGGTTCTAGAATGTTTATTTATTAATTAATTAATGTTGTTAAATTATTACAAACGCTTTTGAATTCCATGCAGTTAGGTATTTACCAAATTGCAGAATTTCTAGTCTCCAAGCAATTTAAAGTATGTTTCTAGAAACAATTATTAGTTTAAACCAATTTATTCATTCCACTCCAAATGTTTTATTTTAGCTATTAAAAAATAATAATTATATTTAATTTATTATTATTATTATTATTATTATTATTATTATTATTATTATTATGTGATATTTGAAATTAATTTTGGCGCTATTAGATACACAATATGAAAATTATATATATATATAATGTTAATTATGTTCATGCAGCATTTTTATATGAATTGATTTTTGGTGTGTCAGTACGGAGAATTGTATAAAAATATAAAATATATTATTTTAACTTTTTTTTAATGAGTATTTGAAGTTTTTTTAAATATTTTTTTTGGTAAAAAATTGTTTTATTTATTATTAATTTTAGAGAATCGTATTTAAAAAATAGTATTGGGAAAACGTTGTGATAATGTAAACCAAAATTTATGTAGTATTAAATGTTTTAGCTATATCAACATTTATGTAGTATCAAATATTTTAGCTATATTATTATTTTATAATAATATTTTTTTCATATGCTATATTATAATATTGATATAATGAAGTTGTTGCTAGATGTATAGTACATAATAATAATGTATGTTTTTGTTGAATAGATGATTTAATATTTAAAAATTCTCTTTATTTATTGTTCATTTTAGTTAGATATTATGTTGAATGTGTACGTACGTATGTATATTATGTATATAAAGATGTATTGTAATATAATACAAAATGCTGCATGTTTAGTCCCGTAAAGAATAACTTAATGGTGTAGGGGTTGAACTTGTGACCATAAAATCATTAAAAAAAAAAAAAAAAAATGCTGCATGTTTATTGAATTATGCATTTGAGTATATTTTTTGTAGTAGCTGTAAATATATATATATATATATGTGAATGAATTTATGTTTTGGTAACAAAATTGTCCATTATATATAATAATTTATAATATAAAATAATATTGTAGTACTATATATTATATTATGATGGAATACAGTAAGTAGGTGAAGAAAGAGAAGCCACACTCTACATCCCACATTTATTACCTGTTCCAGTAATAGACACCAATACCATTACAACATACATATTCCACCGTGTTTCGTACATGCTCTACTCCACTCCATTATCATATTCCAAAACATGCACTAAAGCATTCCTTCCTTCCTTCCTTCCTTCCACCAATTAAATAATTAATTACATTTAACATTGCAATATCTTCCAGTTCCACCAACTTAAAGTGACAAAGTGAATAAAAATTTAAAAGTTGGAATGGGTCAAAAAAGGAAAAGATAGCTAGCTTCAATTAAGATTGTTTGATTTGATTTAATTTAATTTAAATTAATTGATCATAATATTGATGTATCATTTTAGTCAGGCCTGGCCTTCTCTGCTCTCAAATTATCCCAACTTATTAATAGCTGTCCATGCCTTTACAAAAATAAAGATTCTTCCAACAACATTAACACCAACAACAACAATAAAATAATAACAATAATAGTAATAAATTGAGAAAGAATCACTCCTTTTTATTAATACTTCCGTTCAACTTTTCCCATCAAAATTGTACGGACAACAATTTTGGGCATTGCAACTTATTTTGCAATCTTCACATTATTCACATTCTCTTAGCCCAATAGGCCATCAATAAATGTAATTTTTATTTGGTAAATATTTTAATTTACCACCTTATCTTTCAGAGGCAATCTCCATGGCATGGATATGCACAATCTATCGACTTCACACTTGCTCGATCAAAATACCAATCTCCAACAGCTTTCGCGATCACCTGCCAGCCAATCGAGATCAATCGAACGAAATTGTCATCAAAGACTAGGCAAATGATCGCTACTAATAAATTAATTCCGTCGATAAAGAAAGTAAAGAGATAGGAAGAAGCTAGCTAGCCAGCCTACCCGGTTGTCGATGGACGGAGATTTATCGCCGTACCATCGATCTTGAGTCTCCGATTGGCAGTGAAGCCAGCAAGAGTTTATGAACACACCATGTTGCTGTGAAGCTTGAAATCCCTTGATTGCGCCGAGCATTTGGTTCCTAAAGCCTAATTTTGTGTAACAAATTAAATCAAGCAATGTTTTATATGTTAGTCCATCGATCGATACGAATTAAAAATTGCGAAATGCATCGAGGTTTTGTTATTACCTTGCAAGAATTGAACTTGGGAGGATGAACATTTGTGGATGTTTTGCCTACATTCGCCCCAATAGCCGTTAGGATCGGCATAAGGCGGAGTCAAGCTTTCTTGCACCTGAATAAATCGAGACATGATACAACCTTAATTGGCGATTCGACGTCGAAGACATAAGTAAGTGTTTGTTTGGATTGATTAATTAGTACCTGCCATGTATCATAGGCAGAGTTGAGAAGAAACAATGGTGTTTTTACGCCTGAAAGCAGATTCTGTGGGAAGAAACACTGTCGAAAAAAAAAAAAAAAAAGCAGATTCAGATAGTTAAGCATTCGAAAATGTCAGATATGGAAATTGTTTAGGAAGAGATCGACTAACCGAAGTTGCGTCGAGGCGACTTGTGCAATACTTCGGCAGGGTGTTCTCGAGGCCCTGTTTCGCCATGTAAAAAAAGTTTAGCGCGAAGAATTGATCGTAATGCGACGAATATATGGTATACATACATGTAAGTTTACAACGCCATTGAAGAAACTCCTGAGGGACTGTCCGCCCGAAACATCCTTGCTGCATAAGGCAACTCAAGAACATTAAAGCTCGACTAATTGTGAACCAAATTAAGCGAAACAATGGATTTTAAGAGTAAGGTTTGATGGTTACGCGTCGAGAAACAGGCCGGCGTCGCTCACGCACTTCACTTTAGTACTGCTCGGGAACAAACCGCGAAAATGATCGCAGTGTATGATCGTGGCTAGACCACCGGCGGAGCAGCCGGTGAGAAGTGCCTGAAGTATATGTAGATTAGAAGGAGCTTTTAGGAACAAAAATGAAGGTTTAGTAGTGAGAATTGATGGTTACTTGGTCTGCTTTTCGCATTCCTTTATACATGAGATCGTCCATGGCTGCTTGGAATATGCGTTGTCCTCTGAATTGCAGACCGCTCGACTGTATCGGAAGGGAAAGAATTATGACGCAGAGATGGAGATAGAAGCTTAAAAATGGATGGAGAGTTAAGAGGAGGACCTTGTCTTCGCTGTCTCCGGTGAAGGAACCGCCGTCGCAGTAGCGGATCTTGACTCTGTTCCAGTTGTAGAAATCTGGATTTTCAGAAGCTTTGTCGCTGAGTATCCCTGTGAATGCATTTGAACCGAAAAGTTGGGATGATCCATAGTTTGTGGTTTTGCGATAAACACATGATTCAATGTCGTTGCACCATCCACCGCCCTACCAGAGAACAACAGATTCAATCATTGCAGTTACTCAATTCGAATAGTAACGAAAATTAGGGCACAATCAATCATCCAATAATCTTCAATTCAATTCAACTCAACTCAACAATCTTCAATTCGACTCAATCAAATTCAACTCAACAATCTCCAATTTAATTCAATTCAATTATAATGGAAATAAAATTAAACCTCCAATGCGACAATCCAGCTGCTGGCTCCGTCTCCAAATCCAGAATGGAGGTGATAACCAGGCAACGATCCATCCAAACACACTGCAATGTAAATCAATGATAAATACTTTATTGAATATCGATTTTACCCGTAGTGTGTGTGAGAGAGAGAGAGTTAATACCAGCTCCTTTAGCATCGGCGCCTTGAATGAGAGTGAGCGCCACATTCAGAGCACCTTCCGAAGACAGAGACACAGCATCGATTCCACTCAGATTGAAGGCTTCGGAATTCCGATTGCCGAACAGAAGCACCAAAACAACCATACACGAAATTGCGCTCAACCTCTCCATCGAACCTCTCGCTTGCAAATGCAAATGCAAATTCAATCAATGTCTGAGTGAAATCGAACCGGCGAATGGCGGTACTTATAGGCAGAATGTAGCAGTAGCACCGATTGATTATTGAATACAAAATAGCAAAAGTGTATTAATAGCCATGGCAAAGTATTACTTGGAAAGCTAACCCGTCATCTGTTTTGGCCTCTAACTTTACGAAGAAGATGAAGATGAAGAAGATGAAGAAGAAGATTGCTTAAACAAAGTCGCAAAATGCAAATCATCATCTTCCACAATTCGAACCGCCAACCCTCCGTTGTATTAATAAATAAATATCCATTCAAATTGTATCTAATTATCTATTGTTTATTTTGATCATTATTTTTATTATTCAATCATTCATTACAAGAGACCTGCGGTAAGGAAAGTCAATCGAACCATAAAATAAAATTGTTATATTTTAATAATTTTAAACTTATAATATATACAAATAACAGATATTTCATGCGGTTAATTTATAGGTAGGTTGTATTTGTATTATATTAATGCAAGTCTGTATTGCAAAAGTAATACAATGTCTTGTTTGTTATTACATGGTATGTTAGTTAGTTTATGTGTTTTATTTGTATTATTTATTTATTTGATTAATTTAATTCAAAATTATTTAATGTAATTTTCGTCTGACTCTAGCTATTTCATTTACTTTTTTGAATCATTGTACTTCACATTAAAAATATTTTTATATTTATGTAATTTTTTGCACAAATGTCATTATAACAATATTATAAGACATTAGTATAAGTATTTTTACCCATCTCCTTTTATTTGTACTATATTTTCATATAATAATTAATATTCAAATATAACACTCAAAAAATAAATAGGAGATTTAGAGCCGAACGAATGTAGTATATATTTAAAAGTAAAAAATTTATTATCTATAATCTTTTATAAATTTTGCAAAATTATCAATCTTATGTTTAAATTTTTTAAAATAGATAAAATAATAACAATAGAACATTTCATGTGAAATAAATGCATATTGAATTTAATATAAATATATATTGGATATACTTTTGTACAAAAAATATACTCCCTCTCCCTCTGTCCCATAATGAATTATTTATTTTTTTCATTTTGGTTTGTCTCGTAACAAAGCATTAATTTCTACTTTTAATAATCGTACTATCCACTTAACATTACAAAATACTCCTACAACTTATAATATATTACACAAATATCATTACCTTTATATCATACTATATTAATAAAATTATTTTTGTCATTTTCACATTATTACTACTACATATCACTATACGATACTAATATACTTTAAACTATGTGCAAAAAGCAAATTAAGGACTAATGAAGTATATTTTTTTAAATTTAATATTTTCAATAAAAATGATGTATTTTATGTAATAATAAAAATATATATATTATCAATGGATAATACAAACAAATATTTTATTGTTTGAATAATATTTTCACTTTAAATTTAAATATTCTTTTGAATTGGTGTTAAAAAAAAATTAATAATAATAAATTATTAAATAAAAAATTGATAAAAAAAATAAAATTAATATAGCACCACATAGGTTGCAATTAAAATCGTATTGAAGATGTGATAATTATAGGGAAAGAACACAAACTATCTTTATTTAATTTGATTAAAATTTGAAACACGGTCGGTCATATTGAATGGCGTTCATGTTCATCGAATATGATAAAGATAAATGTGTATTAAATTTAATTTTAAAAATTAATAATGATAAAATTTGAGTATTAATTTATATTAATTATAAATATTTGTTTCTATTTTTTTTTTTTTTTTGTATGTAAAATTTTATTATCTACAGAATACCATATTTTATATATTTTATTAAAACTATAATTATTAAAATAATTATATAATTGATTTGTTGTATTTCTATTTTTTAATTTTTTATTTAGAGAAAAAAAAAAAAAAAAGTTGTCATAAGCACCTCCATTTTCCTAAAATCTTTAACGCTCGTTAATTCAATACTAACAATGTATCGCCATACATGAAAATTTAAAAATCTATAATTAATAAATAATTACTAATATATTCATAAAAATAATTAAAATACAATATATATAATTATATAATAAAATTAATTTAATTAATATTAAAAAAAATATATATAATTTTTTTAAATATAATTAAAATGTATAATTTAAAAAAATAACAATAAAATGAAACGTAGAACATACATAAACAATAACGGACATGATCCGACATGCATGATTCACCCAAATCATGGAGCGCGGTTACGTCTCGCCACGTACAACTTTGATTTCGTGAGATCTATTTATAGAAAATTTTGATGACTTTTAATTACATAATTCCTTTAAATGAGATTTGGATGTTTTGGAAATAATAATAATAATAATAAAAAACTACTTTAAATACTATAAAATATATGATTTTATTTATTTGTAAATTTTTAATACGAAACTTATTATTCATATTTTTAAAAAAAGTTAAATTAAAATTTAATATTTTTATATTATATTGAAAATTAATTTTATCAATAAATTATTATATTAATATATATATATTTATATTATATCAAATAATCATTTAAATTTAAAATTTTCTATTCAAAATCCAATGGTGTATTTATTTTGTAAAATAATTTGAAAATATATTATTTTTTTTTAGAGAGTTGTATAGATAATATAATAAATATATACAAGAGTATTAATTTTTTAGAAATGTGTATAATATTTTTGATAAAAAGAACACATCCAAAATTTCAAACTCCAAAACTCACAAACAAATGCATGGATTAATCCAAAAATATTCAATATGATCTTTTGAATAGAAGAATTGGTTTGTTTCTTTATCATTTTTTATTAGAACTATTTGTCATAAATATTATTAAAAAAATATAATATATATACTTTATTCATTGTAAAAAAATTAATAATTCAATACAAACTATTATTTTTTTATATTATTAACACAATTCTTTATATTTAACGTAAAAAATAAAAAAAAAAATGTCAAAAATACAAAATAAACAAAACGAATATATTTGCAATGGAGTAATATCTAGAAATATTTTGTGATACTATATTTTATTAATAGTTGACTAATAATGAAAAACTAAAATTGAAAATATGATTTGTATTGTTTTGATATGAGTTTAAACTGAAATATCTCCTTTCTATAAAATTTGTCATTTTATTTTTAAAAATATAATTATATATTTTAAATTTTATAATTTTTTAATATTAATTAAATTATTTAATTATCTTAATTTTAATCTATTGACTATATAATAATACTTTCTACTAATACACTTTTTAATTATTTACTAATTATATTTTACCTAAATTCTCGTATCTATAGTAATATATTTATATTAAATAAAGGACGGAGAGAATAGTACTTTAGTTAATTTGATTTTTAAAATATTTTTATTGAAAATTTTTCAAATTCAATATTCTTAATAAAAAAAATGAGTTGATCTATTTTTTAGTTGGACCTACCAGATTCAGTCCAAACTTTTTAATCTAATTTGTAAGCCCAAACCCATTAATCATATCCACTGGCCCATTAGTACGTTAGATCAGTTTTTGGGTGGTTAGGAGTTCCAACCGTGTAGGGTTCCAGCGAAGGGAGAGGTTGATTCCGGTAAGGTTAAGAGTCTTTTTCGACGGTTGATTTCGGTGGGCGTCGAGTGTTAGAGTGAGGAACCGATCTCCAATCTTAATTTTAATGTAAATATAATTAAAATATTTTGTTCTCATTTATTATTTAAAAATATAAAAATTATAATGCAATCAAATGTCATTTCCAACCAAGAATTCAATTTATGTAATTGTACCTCCAAATTTAAAGTGCATACCTTTACTCAAATTCATCACTCTATTTTCTACTCAATATTATTAAAATATTCCACTTTATATATTTTTAAACAAATTTTTATATTTACAATTTACACCCAACTTTTATTATTATTTTACATAATTAGTTATTATTACTTAATAATATATTTTAATATAAATAAATAATAATTTATTATTAACAATTTACTTTACAAGTTAAATACAAAAATTATATTATATTATTTTCCGTTGTTGTATTTGTATGTAATATATTATTTTAATTAAATCAAAATGTTAAATTAGATGTTTATTTTATATAATTAAATTTTATTTTTATGTATATTTACAAGATAATTTAAATATTTATTTATTGAAGATTTTATATTATTGCGTAACAACTATATATAAAAAAAAATTGTATAAAAATTATTTTTGAGTTTATTATAAATATTCTAATTATTTATTGTAAAATCTAAATATTATAAATTTTAATTGCTACAAAATGCAAAAACTATGTATATATATATCCACACAAATACATCAAATTGGTAATAAATCTCTACACAATTAAAATTGATTTAAATATAATTTCTACAAAATTAAAACACTAAAAAAAATAAAACAAAACAAATTTGTCACTGGAGCAACACCTCAACTTATAACTAGAGTCGGCATTGGGTCAATTCGTATCGGGTTCGTGTTGGGTTGAATACTTTAAACAGGTTAAATTACTTAACCATAATCCGACCCGTTTATTATCGTGTTAAACGGGTTAAATTACTTAACCCTAATCCCACCCGTTTATTATCGTGTCGGGTTTATGTTAACCCGTTTATTATCGTGTCGGGTTCAGATTGACTCGTGTTGACCCGTATACATAATTAAATCGAATTTCTTGATTCAAATTAAATAATTTTTTGTTGTATTTTCGTGTTAGGTTAATTTTTATTGGTTTGAACTTAAATTAGATTGAATTATTTAAAATTGAATTTAGTTTAAATTAATTTATGAGAAAATTATTAAATTATGATTATTTTATATATATATATAATAAATATATTAATTAATATTAATATATTATAATAGAGTTGAGAGCCTCAACTCTAACCCGATCCGTTTATTATCGTATCGAATTCGTATCAATCCGTATGTATAATCGGATTAAAATTTTTGATCCAAATACAATTATTTCGTATCTGGTTAGTTTTTGCTGGCTCTACTTATAACATGGATTGGAGGACCAAACTCCAAATGTAGGGTACGTTGGAGTTGCTCTAAATGAAACTTAAATTGACGGTTATGAGTTGTACATAAATTAAAGAAAAAAAAAAACAAAAAACCATATGGGCTAGTTTCCATGTAATAAAAAAAAATAAGATCACCCTTTTTTAACTTCAATTTATTGTGTTTAGGAGGTAATAATCGAAAAGGAAGCTGCATAGCATGTTCTTAGACAATATATACTTGGAACCTAAAAACCAAGTTGCAATCAAAAGAATTCAATTCTGAACATTATATAAATAAATAAATAATTTACCAGTTGAGTTCAGTTCAGAGCTTGTTGCAAGAATTATGGCATGGATATGGACAGTCTATCGCCTTCACGCTTGCTCTCTCGAAATACCAATCTCCCACCGATTTCGCGATCGCCTGTAATGTTATTCCAGGCAATCTCCTATAATCAATCAATCACCCCAGAAAAGAAAGTAAAATGGTTCGTAGGAAGCTTACCTTGTTGTCAATGGCGGGAGAGCCATCTCCGAGCCACCGATCTTGCGTCTCCGACTGACAGTGAAGAAAACAAGAGTCGATGAACATCCCACTTTCTTGTGATGCTTCGAATCCCTTGACGGCATTCAGCATTTCTTTCCTAAAGCCTTTCGCGCAACCAATCGAGCAATTTACGACATTAGTCGATGAATACAAAAGAATGCGCTTAAACTTTTAGCTAAGATGATTATTTAATCCCTGATGCATATTCGTCCAAGTTTAAATTTGTAGGTGAGACTGTCGTTCAACCTACTGATTTTTTTATTACCTTGCAAGAATTGAATCTGAGACGCTGAACATTTTTCGATCCTCATTCTACAATCGCGCCACTCGCCATTAGGATCGGCTGGAGGTGGAGTCAAGCTTTCTTGAACCTGAACATATAAATATGCAATACGACGACAATTTTAATCGGCGATTATGGGATCGAAGAAACATTTTGATTAGTACCTGCCAAGGATCATAGGCAGAGTTGAGAACAAACAATGGAGTTCTTATGCTGGAAATCAGATTCTGTGGGAAGAAACACTGCCAAAAAAAAAACACAAAAACACATCCGGATTGTTAAGCATTTGAAATGTAAAATGTGGAGATTTGTTTAGGAAGATACTAACCGAAGTTGGATCGAGGTGATTGGTACAATATTTAGGCAGGTTTTTCTCGACTCCCTGTTTCACGAACCACGTAAAGATTTATGACTAATGCAGCTTAGCAGAACATAGCATTGATCGTAATGTACCTGTAAGGTTACAACCCCGTTGAAGAATTTTCGTAGAGTGCATCCCCCAGAAACATCGGTGCTGTCGAATGCAAATCGAGAACATTAAAGATGGACTCATATATCGTTTAACGAATAAAGCGACAAGGTTTGGTTGTTACGCGTCGAGAAACAGGCCTGCATCGCTCACGCACTTCACTTTCGTGTTACTTGGAAATAAATCGTGAAACTGGTCGCAGTGTAGTATGGTTGCTAGACCACCGGCAGAGCAGCCGGTGAGAAGAACCTGAATTATTATATAAAGACAGACAACACATGAGAAAAGAAAATTTAGGTGATATTAAAAAGTGGGAATTGATAATTACTTGGTCGGCATTTCGCATTCCTTTCGACATGAATTCTTCCATGGCGACTTCGAATATCCGTTGTCCTTTGAATTGCAAGGCTCTGGACTTGTCTTCGGCGTCTCCGGCGAAGGAAGCGCCGTCGCAGTACCTGAGCTTCACTCTGTTCCAGCTGTAGAAATCTGGATTTTCGGAAGGTTTGTTGCTGAGTATTCCTGTGAATGGAATGGATTTTTCGAAGAATTTGGAGGATCCACGGCGTGTGGTTTTGCGGAAAACACATGATCTGATGTCGTTGCACCACCCGCCACCCTGCAAGAGAAGATATTGATTGATTGATTTTGGTTAGTGTAATAAGTACATTGATGTTGAGGATGAACTATTATAAATGTTGATCTTGCAAGAAGGTTCTCAATGTAATGAAGAAATTGAGATTAAAACCTCCAATGAGACAAGCCAGTTGGTGGCTCCTTTGCCGGATCCAGGATGGAAGTGATAACCTGGCAATGTTCCATCCATACACACTGCAGTATTTGCAAGAAAAACACAAAATATTACTCCCATTGTGTGTATATTTTAATCTGGACGTGTAATTTTTTTATTTTATATCTTTTACGGTAAAAAAAATTTTAAAAATCATATGCTTTTTTTATTAAAAGTAAATATGATAATATTGTTATAAAAAATATATATTAAATGATATAATTCTACATACCTAATATCAAAAAAATATATATATAAATGCAAAAACACAATGTGAATACATTAATTGTAATTAACAACAGATACTTTTTTGAGTATTAATTAAATTTTATATGCCAAATATTATTTAATACTATATGGTTTTATTAACTTACCAAATATTTGTAAAAGGTAAAAAAATATCTAACCAAATATGGAGTATATAAAAGTAAGTGCACGTAACAGTGAAATAGACGTAAGCCAAATTCACGGGTTGGAATAGAAGCATCAAAACAAATCAAGACAAGTATGTTTACATGTATTTGATTTTGTTTATAAATTAAAATAATTTTCCTAATATTCGATAAATAATCAATCTCTTCGTAAAAGATTTTTGAATAGAACAATTTCTCATAAATACTAGTAAAAAAATAAAAATATAAACATACATTAATATAATATAATATAATATAATATATATATATATATCATCCACTCAATTCAACCATTCAATATTATTACCAATACAGTTCCCATAATACACATAAAATGCCGAGTGAACAGACTGGATATATTAAATACAAATAACTAATAATAATAATAAATTTTTAAAAAAATAAAGGGTGTGTTTACTCGTCAAGTTTTAATTTTGAATTTGAATAGTAAAATTTTTGAATTAAAATAATAATTTGATGGGATATAAATACGTTTTTTATTATATTTTAAAAGTAAAATTTGATTTTAGTATAATAAAATAAATAAATAAATAAAAATTAAATAAATAATAGATCAGGGATAAAATCCCAACATTAAAGAGGTCCAAGTAATTAATCAATTAGGTCAATAAAACAAAAACCAAACACACCAATCATCCATCCATGGAGAACGATGAATTCATGCATCAGAATCGATGAACAGTAACAGAGAAAATTGAATTCAACAGAAGCAGATACAGACGTCACAAAAAGGTACTCGCAATTCATTCCACATGCTTTCTGAATAAGAGAAGAGAGAGAATCTCATCACTGCCAAACAACCCTAACTCTCTAATTCTCTACTCATATATTCACGCACATATGTATGGACACAAAATATATATAAATATATGTATACATAAACAGAATCAGATCAACAGAAGCCGATAAAATGGAGCATAATCACCACTTACCAGCTCCTTCAGCATCAGCTCCTTGAATAAGACTGAGATTCACCATCAGAGCACCGGCCGGCGGAGCCGCCGCATCAATTTCATTCCAATCGAAGGCTCGAGAGCTCCGATTTCCGAACAGAATCCCCAAAACAATCACGCACGAGACTGCGCTCAATCTCTCCATTCCGCCTAAATTAATTAATTGCGCGCAATCCTGCAGGAGAAATCTAGCCGGAAAACGATGATACAAAATAGCAAAGTGTATTTATAGCCATGGCGGAAAGAAGAGCATTATTTGGAAACCTTATCCGTCACTCTCATGGAATGAATGGGCGGGAGAAAAAGAAAGAGGGCTAGAAACGGAGATCTGAATAGTTACAGTACCAAAACGCAAATAATCTTCTAGAATTCGAATCGTCGGCGGCCGGCTCACTCATGAAATAAGTTAAGCGCTAGCAATATTAGTAAATTACATTTAATTTTATGTTAATTTCATGGTAATTAAAATTTTCATCAAAAATAATCGAATGCAGCTTTACTATGCCACGCTGTCAAAATTAATTTATTTTTTTTCCCCTATGAATAATAGTATTAAATACTAATTATTTTAGGTAATGACAGAGACGTCGGTATCCCATTTTCGTGACCAACAATGGTGACAAAATAAGGCACTAATTTATTCTAACGTTTTTTTCCATTAAAATAAAAAAGATTTCTCTTCAATGTCATTACTAAAAAAAAAAAAATTGAGAATAATTAGGGATAAATTTGATTAGCATTAATTACCAGATAAAATATTATATATTTTGTCGAACACAAATTTTAATAAAAATGAATAATAATAATAATTTTTTAACAAGATATTTTTTTTATAACAATTAAAAAAAATTAAATATAAATTTGCATTACCCAGGAAATATATTACAAGTTCACTCACACATGTACTTTATAAAATACAAACAAACAGCTACTAAACTCAATTAAGCAACATGATTGAATTTAACATTGAATTGAGTAACAATAACTCCCCTGTCCGGTTTGAGAATTCCAGCCGAAAGATGAAATCCGCTTCTTCCACCGGTTTACGACCACGACAATCGACGAGGGCGACTCTTCTTCTGGCGACCGGAGGCAAGGCGCAGCGGAGACGATCAGAACAGCAGCTTCTCCGACGAATCAGCGTTCTGGTAGCGACGGTTTCCGGCATGTTTAAACGACTCTGATCTACTTTCTTTCATAGATTCTTCTTTCACCGAAACAGCTCCGATCATCTTCTCCGATCAGATTCGAACTCCGGCGGTAAAGACGGGCGGATATCTCCTAACGACTCTGATCGTCTGTTTAATAAACAAATATATTTATGCATATTCAAAATTGTTCATTTATTTGTAAATTAATTATGTTAATTATTTATATTTCTTATTTAGTTATATTATATAAAAATTTATTTTTTTATAAAATAATATTTATATGGTATATATTTTATTAAAATTTAGTCATTAAAATAATTAAACACATATTTTAAATTTTTTAAAACTCATATATATCATATCATAATCAAATATTAATTAAATAAATCACTCTCGATACAACTTCTAACTTAATAATTCAACGAAACACACTCTTATTTAATACTTCCTCCGTCCACAAAAAAAAGTATACAATTACTTTTGGCGCGGTGTTTAAGAAATAATAGTACGTTAATTACAGTGAGTAGTTAAAAGTAGTGTAATGACATTTTTGCCCTTGCTTTTTGGTGTAAAAGTAATGATGTGATGTAAAATAGGGGTATTTGTGGAAAAAAGTAAAGTATTTAATGAAATATTTACTTTGTAATTGGACGTCCTAAAATAGAAACATGTATACTTTCTAGCTGAACGGAGGGAGTATAATTGAATATAAGATTTTAAAAAATAATAATAATTGGAAAAAAAAATAAAAAATAAATATGTTTTTGTTTATTGAATTTTGCAAAAAAAAATAACAAATCATCAAATATTTTTTCCCAAAAAAATATCAAATTAAATATCTATTTTTTTATTTTTATTATATTAAATTAATTTTACATTGAGGATATCACGTCAACGCTTATTTATATAATATTATTCAAATATTTCAATCCAAAATTTTTATTATTCAAAATTCCAATTCAAAATCCAAACTCACGAACACAATGTTAGAAAACGCAAAAGAACCAACTCCTCAGTCCTTCATGTTTATTAGCCCATGTCCGGTTCGGACCATTACGTAATGTTCAAAAATGACAAGCACAAAGCCTGAATGTATCAATATTACATGAAAAGTTCTAACGGCAAAATCTTGCCTTTCATTACACATTTCCTATTCGATCCTAACCTTTTTGGCCAAAATATTCATCCGCTTTCGATTCGTCGTCGCCGCCGCCGTTGTTATCGGCTGCGCCGCCCGTCTTAAGGAACGGGACGGTGCTAGTGCTGATCGACTGCGGCAACGGGCTGCCGCCCGTCGCGGCCACGTCCTTACCGCCGTCGGAATCCTCGTCCTCGTTCTTGTATTTGTACCACATTGCCCAATAGAGATAGTGAAAGAAGTTGAGAAGGCTGAGGATAGCCAAGAACCAATAGAACAAGTTCAAGTTGTTCTTGTTCAAGTCCTGCCCGTGGAGCCAACCCTGCTTACTCGGCGCGGCGCGTCTGGTCACGGCGTTGATCGCGTCGACGAGCGCGCTGCTGAGGAAGTACCCCAACGAGAGCGAGATCCACGTAAACGACGTCGACAACGACTTCATCCCGGCGGGTGCCTCCTTGTAGAAGAATTCGAGCAACCCGACGAGCGTGAACATGTCCGCGATCCCGAAAATCCCGTACTGAAACGACAGCCAGAAGAGGCTGATCGGGTGCAGCGGGTCCTTCAACGATTGGTCCCGTCGCTTCACCTCGACCAACGCCGCGATTGACATCGACATGGCAGAGAGCACGAGCCCGACCCCGACTCGTTGGAGCTGGGTGATGCCGCCCGGGTGGTTCGTCAGACGCCGCGCAAACGGCACGAATATGCGGTCGTATAACGGGAGGAGGACGACCATGACGACGAGGGGGATGATGGGAACGGACGCGGCCGGGACTTGGAACGACCCGAGATAACGGTACATTATGTAGCCCTGTTGGACGGAGAACGTCTGCAGCTGTGCGAGGCAAGTGTTCATCACGACGGTGCTGAATAATATCGGCATCATCCGCGTAAGAACCTTAACTTCCTCGACTTGTGTCACCGTGCAAACGTTCCACGGCGACGGCTCCTTGCTCGGGGGGAGAATCGCGGCTTTGTCGAGCCACTTAAACTGGTCCGTATGCGCAATTTTGGCTGCCGTCGCCTCCGTATCCTTCCGCCGAACCTCGTATAGCTCGGTGGTGGCGCGCAAGTTCCGGTTTTTCACCGCGACAACTACAACCTAATCGAAACGAAAACCGATGTAAGAATAAGCGACGCGACGGCGCGTATGTACGAAGAAACGTACTTGTATGACTCTTAAGAGAGGGCTATCGTCGGGGATTTGGAGACGGTAGAAGGGCTTGCCGAGAGCGAGGATGGCATACCCGACGAACGAGGCGAGGAGCGTGATGAGGAAACCTTTCCACCAGTTGTGGTTGTTGGTGTTGGTCGCGACCCAAACGATGACGGTGACTCCAACACAGGCGCCGCAAACCGAGCTTAGGATAAGCCAATTGAAGTAGCTTGTGAGGCCCTTGGCTTCTTTCGGATCCTTCGGGTCGAATTGGTCAGCGCCGAGGGCCGGGAGGGCGCCTCGAGTGCCTCCGGTGCCGAGCGCTAATAGACATAGGGAAATGTAGAAGTAGGCGGCCTTGCCGCCCTCGAGACAATGCGACAAGTGGAGGCACGGCGCCGGGAGGAGACTACGGTTGTGCGCTTGGATTGTCATCATTGTCAGAGCCTGAGGCACAGAACAAAAAGATCGAGAGAGAGCGACAAGTTATTAGCGTATGGTACATGAAGTGACGGAATCAACCGTCAAATTTAGGGAGCAAAATACTTAAAAAAAACATAAAATTTAAAGATTTAAAGTATAAATAATAGACAAAATTTTAATTATTTTTACACTATAAAATAAAAAATTAGGGAGGGCAAATTAGTAAAAAAAATATTTTTATATGTTTTCGGTGTTGGCGTCAACTGCCCCTCAGCCCCCGTATAAATCCGTCTCTGGGTATATGTATATATATGTAGATAATTTAGTCGAATGATGTGTGTACGCACCACGAGTTCGATGACGCCGAAAATGAGACAAGTGGCGAACCTACTAATGTAAGTGTCGGAGATGAAGCCACCGACGATGGAGAGCAAGAAGGTCGAGCCCATGAGGTTGGTGAGCGTGTTGGCCGCGGCCGAGAGGTCGAAGTACATAATGTACGAGAAGTAGAGGACTAGGCTTACCATGTTCGCCACGAATCCCATGCTATCCAGCCCCAACAACGCTACACAAAATATTGTTTTGTTAAATGACAATTTCATCTAAAAGGATGGTTAGGGTGCTGGTTTAAACTATTGAGATTATAACATGTGTTGTTAGTTATATGATATAGTTATATTATATTAGCATATACAATCTGTTGTTCGTTATAATAGTGTGTACTGTCACACAACACAACGATGTATTGTTGAAACTATAAAATATATTGTATGTAATAATACTAAGTGGCTGAAGCCGCTGCTCATCTAAAAATATATAAATTTATAGAAATATGTATTGTTAATTACATATTTTTTCGGAAACTAACCATATACGAACATGGTGGCGCGGAAGCCGCCTTTCCCTTGTGTCGGCGCCGCCACGGCGGTATATTCTCCGGCGGGGATCTTTTCTTTCCCTTCCTCCTGCATTAATTAGAGCAAAAGATAATTAAAGATCATCGACCATGCATGCATTAATTAATTAATGTTGTTGATCCCATCCCATGTCCAAAAAGTGAGCTCACCATGATGGCTGTGTGTAACTGTAAGTCGAAAATCTAGGTAGATGTTGTAAGAGGGGAGGGATTATTCAGACGCACATGTATTTATAGATAGAGAGAGAGAGAGAGGAGACATAGGCTCCGTTTACGCATGATTTTTATATGGATTGATTTTTGGTATATGATATGAGAAATTATGTAAAAAATATAAAATATATTATTTTGAGTTGAATATTTGAATATTTCATTTTTTTTAATAAAAATTTGAAGTTTTTTTAACTTTTTAACTTTTATGAAAAGTTTTTTATATTATTTATTATTATCTCACTCTGACTCTAAGAGTTAAAGTTTAATGTGTATTTTAATACTAATAGAAAAATATTTTAAAAAAAAAAATTATAAATAAAAAATAATTTTAATATTAAATATAATAATACAAAAAGTAACTATGACCTATGCTTTGAAATTAAAATTAAAAAATAATATTAAAAGAACATAGAGATAATTTGTGAACTAGGAATAGGATAAGAATATAACTGATGGCCGACTAGGGCAGAGCAGGGTGGCTAATTTCTTGTAATTGCAGACTGTGTCCACATATGGGAATCTAAAGTACATTTCCTTTGTTCCCAAGAGTTGATGTTGATTGGGAATTTGGAAAAATAGAGTTTGTTTTATATACAAGTTTTTTCAGTTATAAAAAAATTTAAAAAATTAAATATTTCATATCTTATTTTTTAAAATTATTTGATATTATGTAAAAAAAAATTATTAAATAATTATTTTTTGTACCATTTGAATTTATATTTAGCTGTATATGATATAAAGAAATATTATCACTTCTTATTTAGTTAATTATATTATAAAAGAACAGATAATTATTTTTATTAAAATCCGTACCAATGGGCATAAATTTCAAAAAGAGTATTAAAATAAATTGTTTTATTCTTGTATTTGATCTTTTTATTATGTTAGAATTTTAAGTGGACTATCTTTAAAAATAGTCTCGTAATAAAATATTTTCACTAAAATGGTCCATCAGTGTCGGACTCACTATGTTGGCTCGCCGTTGCTGATATGACATTAACGCGGCTGATATGTTATCGCTACGTAGATGCCACATAGAAATATTATTTTGACGAAAATTTTTCACTTGCATAACTATTTCTCGGACAAAATTCATTTAAAACCCTAAAAATGATAAAAAGATGTAATATATTAGACTAAAAAAATAGTTTACCAAAATATTTTGTAAAAAAAAAAATCCACGTGTGGCTGATGTAGTATCTACATAGCGATAACATATCAGCTGCGTCAGCAGAAGATATCTTAGCGAAAAACTTTTACTTATGAGAGTCCACTTAAATTACGAGAGTCCACTTAAATTACTTAGCGATAAAATGTGTGTATTGTTTATAGACGCTGACAAGATGTGTATATTATTAGACTATTAGTGAAGGAGGCACAATTATTATTATTTAATAAAATATTACGTTTAATTTAAATAAAATTATTGGGGGGTACAAGTCATTGGTTATTCCTAGCCATTGAATGCTTCACCAAGGGTGATGCTTTGTCTGTCTGTTTATAAATAGGACAGATGATCCCATTGAGGTTTCGTTATGTACAAAACCAGAGGTTTCCATTTTGCCGTCCTATAATTTGTCTTAAATTGATAATTTTAAGCATAAGACAATGGCCACTGAGATAGACTTTTTGTCTTGCCTGAATTAGTCTCTCCATCAGCTACTCCGGCAACGACATTGTCTCCCCGGACCCGTTGCCGCCTATACAGGTCCGATCCTAACTTTCGAAGGATCCGGGGCAAAAAAGGGCCCCAAAATATATATATAAATAATATATCTTTATTTATCATAAAATATAAATAATTAAATAAAATAATTTTCTAAGATTTTTAGATGAAAAATAGTACTATTTCCGTCCGGCTCTAAGAGTCTAATTTATTTTTTACGTATTGATATATGAATATTAATTATTATATTAAAATGTAGTACAAATTAAGAAAATATTATAAAAATACTTCCGTTAGTATCTTATGATACTAATAGAATATCATTTTTACAAAAGATTATACAAATATAACGATATTTTTAATGTTAAATATAATGATACAAAAGATAAATGTAATCCTTAGAGGAGACGGAGAGAGTATAAAAAAATTATTTCTAAATATTTGAGACATATATGATTTGAACTTAAAGACCTCAATATTAAAACTTAATCTTCATATCACCAAATTATAATCCTTCTTATTTATATATATCAAATAAATTATATATATAAATTATTCATATATAATATAAATATATAATGGATCCTTATTTACTGTGGCTCAGGGCGGGCGCCCCTTCCGCCCGGGCCCAGGGCCGGCCCTGCATCTACATAAGGCTTTGTTTTTAGAGCTGTAAAACAAACAAACAGTTCGCGAGCTCGGCTAGGCTCGTTTAAGCTCGCTAAAAGTTCGTTTGTTAAGCTAAACGAGTCGAACACGAATATAAATTTTGGCTCGTTATATTCACGAACGAGCTCGAGCTTGTTCGCGAACGTTCGATACTATTTATTAGAAAAATTAAATTAATAATTTTATTTAATAAATATTTATATCTTTATAAATATTACATTTCATTCTATTTTTTATTTGAATTTATTAATAAAAATTATAATTATAATTAACTAAATTTAATTTTTTTAAAAAAATAAAATAAATAAAATAAAATTTTCTCTTAACAAGCCGAGTCGAGTCGAACACAAACAAAAAAAATGTTAAATGAGCCGAGCTCAAACAAAAATTTCAGCTCGTTTCTCTTAACGAACGAACACGAGTTGAGCTCGAGTCCTTAACGAGCCGAGCTCAAACATGACAATCTCGACTCTGTTCGGCTCGTTTACAACTCTATTTGTTTGTAGAGTAAATTATATTTCATCCGTCCCATATCTATCTATCAATTTACTTTTTAGACGGAGTTTTATAAATATTAGTATTATATTGGAATGTAATATAAATAAAAATAAAAATATTAAACTATCATTATTAGTATCGTATGATACAAAGGTAATGACATTTGTGTAATATATTGTAAGTTGAAAGAGTATTTGTAATATTAGGTAGATAGTACCGTTACTAAAAACGAAAATTGATATTTTGTTACGAAACAGACCAAAATGGAATAGATTGTTAAGAAACGGATGAAGTATAACACTTTATTGTATTTTTGTAAAAAAACACAAAATACCTATTTTTGTAAAAAAACACAAAATACCTTGTGTTTTATTTATTGGGTGAAACCTCATCGTGTTAATGTAAAATTTGCACATAATACCCTCTTAGTCCAAAACTGATATTTGGTTGTAAATACGAATCTAAATTATGCAAATTTTATACAATAAAAATAAATAAATTATTTTAAATGGTCTTTTTTGAATAAAATAAAAAAATAATTGATCAATCTTTCATTTTTATAGTTTTTTTTGTAAAAATCAAATAACAAATTATCTTAAAAAACCTATAAAAATTGAGGATTAATCGATTATTTACTTATTATTATATTCAGAACTATATATTTACTTCTTTTATTTGTATAAAACTTGTATAATTATGTTCATATTTACAACTAAATATCAGTTTTGGTCGAAGAAGGTGTTATGTGCAGATTTTACATTAACACAGAAAAATTTCACGCAATAAATAAAACACAGAGTGTTTTGTACATTTTCACTAACGAAGGAGTGTTGTAGAATTTACTCTTGTTTGTATACATATATTGGAAAGTTTTTCTTTTTTATTGTTTATCAACATTAATTTTATTATTGTAAACAATAGTGTAATACACAGAAATAAAACACTCACAGCTATTTGGGCGAGGAAAACCTACACCCAACGGACATATTATTAAATTTTGCAGTAAGTGCAATAAGGCGAATACAATGTCAATGCCAGTGACCATACAAGGCCTATCGATCTATTAACCAACAACAACAGTTTTGTGTTGTAAAGACTAAAGACAACACAAGTTATAAAAAACTAATAAAAGATTCAATAGGCAAAAAACAATCTCAAGGGAATCGATACAACCACAGACAATAACTCAATCCCATAGCCAATTGATATGCACTGCTTCTCCAAGAATATTGCACCACCACCGACCTTTACCACCAAAGCTCAACAACTACAGAAATGGGATCGAGCTTCCAACCTAAAATCAATTGGTAATAGGTGGAGACCATTTACCTTTATAAACCCAAGGAGTTCCCACATGTTTACCAATATTCAACATTCTCTCCTCAAGATGATAATATAGAAAATTCATACAGGATCAATATCCAATACGTGCACCATGGCTTTGACACCATATCAAGAAGGGATCGATGCTTCCAATTTAAAACCAATTAGTAATAGGTGAAGGAATCCTTCACTCTCATAAACCAAAGGAGTTCCCACATATTTACTAATGTGGGACTATATTCAACAAAACTTTGGGAGAAACTCAGCCATAGAGGCAGAGAAGAGAGTAACAACATAAAAATCTAATGATTTCTTTTCCTTAAAGATAAATAACCCTAAAGGGTGATTTTAACACCCAAAGGAAGATCATCAAGAAGAAAGAAAAAAGCTCAGCCCAAATACCCATTGGATGAGTATTTATTTCAAGACCCCCTTAGATGAAGGGTCCTCATCATTGACATAAAAAACACCACAAAGATTGTTAAACTGCACAGTCATAAAATAGATTTTATTTTCAAGGCTTTAGTAAGAAGATCTGTACATTGATTATTAAATGAAGTATATCTAGTACAAATAATTCCCTTAGAAACACAATATCTAACAACATGGCAATTAACTTCAATATGTTTCGTTCTTTCATGAAAAGCAAGATTAGCAACAATTTGAAGTGCAATTATACTATCACAAAACAAGTAAATAGGAATCACACTTTCAACATGCAAATCTTTAAAAATACCAATTATCCACATTATTTTAGCATATGTTTGTGCCATTGTTCTATACTGAGCCTCTGCTAATGACCTTGACACAATAGTTTGTTTTTTTTTTTTTTTTAAATGACACCAGTGAGCCACCAAAAAACATACAAAAACCTGTCATATACTTTCTTGAAATAGGATATGAGGCCTAATAAGAATTACAAAATGCCTTAATATGCAAGTTCCCAAAGTTCGAAAATAACAAACCTTGTTCTGGTGACTCTTTTAGGTACCTTTAATGTAGCAGATGTGTGATTCTTTTGGTTTTCACATAGAATGACTAAGAACCTGAACATGGAAAAGTAATATATGGCTTAGTCATTGTAAGGTAAATAAACTTTTCAATAAACTGTTGATATGCCACAGAATGTGTAATTAAAGGATCATCACCAGTAACTTCACTAATAAATTTCAGCCCTTATTCAAGAGGAATAAAGGCTGGTTTATATCCAAAGAGCCCAAATTCATTCAATAATTCAAAAGTACATTTCTTTGAGTAAGAACAACATTAGGCTCGCATTAACCACTTCAATCTCTAAAAAGTACTGTGTCGGCCCCAAATATTTTATTTTAAATTTATCATGCATATCTTTTTTTTAAAAAAAGCTATTTCTTCAATATTATTTCCAGTAAGAAGTATATCAACAACATAAACTAAGACAATCAAGTTAAACCAATTTTCACTTTAGTAAAAAGAGAATAATCATGCAAAGATTGAGTAAAACCAAATGCAAGCATAAAAGCCCTAGGTTTCTCGTTCCATTGCCTAGGTGCTTGTTTCAAACCATAAAAAGACTTTTTTAAAAGACACATTTTATTTTCAAACATTTTAGAATACCCCTCGGGAGGTATCATGTGGATTGTTTCACATAAGTTCCCATGTAGGAGAGCATTATTTACATCAAGTTGAAAAACATTCCACCATTTATGAACAGTAAGATAAATAACACATCAAACAGTTACCATATTGATAACAAGAGAAAAAAGTTTTATGGAAATCAAAACCCTTTCTCTAATTAAATCATTCGGCAACGAGACGAGCTTTGTACCTTTCTACACTACTATCAACCTTATAATTTCACTTTAAAGACCCATTTACAATCCATTGGCTTTCTATCATTTAACAAGTCGCAAAGAACCCAAGTATTATTATTTATTAAAGCTTTCATTTCAAGGTCTATTGCATGTTTCCAATCAGCATTTAGCATTGCCTCCCTAACATTTTTTGGCTCAGCATGTTTGTCTAAGTTGGTAGCTAGACAAAATACACTATCACCTAATTTTTTGGACATTTTACAAAGATTTTTCAAGAGGGTACTTAATGGAGGAATTAATGAACTCAGTTCCATTGTCATTTCTAAACACCTTGACATTTTTTTCCAAACTGGTTTTTTACAAGACCAAAAAACCTTTTTAAACACACAAACACTTTAGATTTTTGTTCTAATAAGAAAACCCAGACAACTCTTGAAAAAATCATCAACAAGAGTTAGAAAGTACTTGAAACTCTCCCAAGAAACAACCTTTTAGGGACCCCAAACATCACCATGAACAAGATAAAAAAGATTGCTCTGTAAGGGATGACCTGGTGGTGTGGAGAGTGAACTTGTGATCATGAGGTCATGAGTTCAAATCCCGACACCTCTAGATTCACATGCCACACATGGTTCGCCTATAATATTTTAGGAATGATGGGAGTATAAATGACTTATTATCATAGAATATCTTGTTTAGTTACCTTACTCTCGATGAAAATCATATGAAAATTCTATTTATTATATTGATTTTTAATATATTATTTAGACAAAACATATTTTTGGTGTATTATATATATCTTTTACCTATCTTGATTTTTTCACATAATCAAATAGTACTTATATTTGAAGAAAAAAAAATCAGTACTATTTTGCATTTGCTTAAAGAAATATTCAAACCTAATGTGACAAAAAGAAAAAAAAAATGGATTGGCGGACACTGAATATATTTGAGGGTACTTTGTTCAAACAATTTCTACGAATATAGAAATAATAATATTTATTAATATTACCAACTTCTTTCTTCATTATCGATTCTTTCCCCTACTCCTACTTTTCTTCCACATTCTACGCGGTCATCTTCAACCAAACTTTACCTTTTCTCTTCATACACATATATTTATACATGTTAAAATAGATACTCCCTCCGTCTACAAACTAATGTCTTACTTTGCTATTTGAGACGTCTAACAACTATTGTCTTATTTTCTTTTTTAAACACAAATTTTATATTTTTATCCTTCATTCATTTATTACTTTTAATCTCTACCATATAATTAAGGGCAAATTTGTCAATTCATAACAAAAAGACAATCACCTAAAAACCGTGCAAATATACTTTAGGATAATAGAAATTGGACGGAGAGAGTATAAAATTTCAAAAACTCTTCGATTTTCCAATACTCATGATTAATTGTAATAAATGTAAAAACTCTTCGATTTTTCAATATTCATTATTAACTCTAACAAATATAAAACTCTTCGACATCTACACCCCCAATATTTTATATATATATGTACACACATCTTATAAAATATAATAAAATGATGATAATAATAATAAATTTTGTAATAATAAAATAAATTGCACACCTAATCAAAAGAAAAGATAACACATATATAATATTAGAACCAATCAAATTGCAAAATTAATTAGAAAACAGATAAAGAAAATTATATTTTTATCTATTTATTATATTATAATAAAAATTATCAAAATATAGTCGATGTGTGTACTCATTTAAATTTATAATTCTATATGGATGTTAATATTACTTATCCAATCTAAAAAAATTTTAAACGAGTCCTATCTTATTTAAAACTAATCAAACTTCAATTTTCTACTATTTAAACTATGTATTTTTCGAAAAAAAAAATATTTTTATTCTCACAAAATATTTTATCAAATATTATTTTATATCAAACTCAAACCAAAAGAAACAGACCCTAAGAAAATAAAGGAACGAAGAAAAAACATTAAGAGCATATTAACATATTATTAAAATTCTAGAATATATAAATATGAAAAAACACAAAATCATAGTGTATATATATTTTACTCACAACTACTCCATCCATCTAATTAGTCTAAAGATTGTTTGGGGTTTTGTAGTATATTAAAAAGTAAATATATTTTATTGGTCAGTGAAAATACGGTAAGATAGTTTTGACATTTCTGCTATTTGTATTTTATATATAAATTAATTGTATGTATAATGTTATATTTGTAATTATATAAAAGTTTAAGGGTATTTTCGTTTCGATTATGCTGATTTGACTCAATTAGCAAATATCATTGTGGAGCTAGGTTACGAAGACTACTTGGGGTGTGTTTGTTTGGGGGATTTTACTGCAAATTCACTATTCATCCAATTTTTTCCTCTAAAAACATCAAATCAAACGCCTATTTTTTATTTTTTATATTATATTAAAAATCTATTTTACATTCAAAATATCATATCTAACAACTATTTATATCAGGTCATACAACTGTTCCAATTCAAATCTTTTACTATTCAAATGCAAACTCTCAATTATTAAAAAAGTTAAAAGTTCAAAAATACCAATTATTTGATAAAATCATGGAGTGAATGCTACCAGGCTGGAATGTACAACAACTGAGAACAGAAGATTGGTCAAGAGAATCTAACTTGCATCTTATCATCATCTTTGGACTCCACGACAATCTCCACATTTTTAATGCTTATTGCGTTCTTTACCGGATCTCTAATCGATGCCTCTAGACCTGTATTTGCAAATTGAGTTATACTTTGAAAAAATGACCACGAAGGGGATCATAGAATCACAGGTAAACTACATTACCTGAACCAACAGCAGATATTGGCTTGAGTACAAGTCTCGTTCCTGCCTTTGAGGGGCCACAGTGAGCTAATGACCTGATATTCACTAGGTGCACAATTGGTATTGTAACAGCATTGCAAGGGCATTAAAAGGTCCATGAAAGTTGCTGATAAAAAGTGAGATCATACAAACGTGATGAATTGCATATGCAAAGCTCTTGTCTTGAGAAATAACTTCCATTCCACTTAAATAGTGATTAACTTAAGAGTATGGATACGAACATCATACACTAGAAGCAATTTCTAATACTTCACACAAACCACATCTATCTGGATTCAAAGAGGAAATTAGTAAATTCATAACGAGTTAAGCAGCAGCTTAGGTCGATGACATAAACCCGCAAATCTTCATAAATAAATAAATAATCATCAAAGCAGATAGACAATGTGAGAATTAGCAAGATTTTCTCTAAGCCACTCCAAAATAATACAACATATAACTTTAATGCTCCTATCTAAAATCTAAATAGTTTTCTCGCAAAAACAAAACGAAAATTCTGATGCACTTTTCTCCACATATATTTCTAGTTTATGTTTCCAGACTCGGCAATTGCAAAAATTATATAGCGTCTCACATTATATAATCATTTTCAAATATTGGTGGTGATGGAAATGCGGAATGCAAGACACGTTTCCCAGAGCGAGTTCATCAACGACAACAATTGGAAGGAGTCAAGAACAAAGGTTGAATTAATTGGTACCTGAGGCTGGTGAAATAATCGATGTAATAGCGTTGCCGGTGCCATCGCCGCCATGGTTTTCACCGTCTCAAAGAGCAAAACTGAACAGAAAGCCAACGATGCGAGCGGATAGGAGGAGGAGACTAGCGCTTCACTAATATAAATAGTACAAAATTCACGATTATATATATATATATACACAGGCATTTTTTATGCAAATGATTTGATTGGGTTGTTTCTTTTGATGGGTCCACGAAAATTTGGTTTGTGATGGGTATTTTTATATAGAAATTTGAAGTTTTGGAGTATTAAAAAAAAAAAAACAAACCCATATTTTTTAAAATTATTACATTGAATATATTTTCTTTATGTCATAATTATTATATCAAATAATAATTTTTTAAAAAATTCTATATTCATTAGGTTTCTATAATTTTTTTTTTTGCAGAAATCTAATAGTATAAAATAAAAGTTTGTTTACTTGGAGTTTTGATTTTCTGAGAATACTTTTTACTGAATTGAAGTTTGAGCCATCAGCAAGCCTGAATGAAGTTTATTAACATAGACAAAAAAAAATAAAAATGGATGTGTGATCTTGATTCTTGAGCGCTAAATGATGCCAGCAGCCCTACAATACAAACAAACATGCCTCTTCTTCATGGTGTAAAAATTCTCAGTGGATTCTTGATCATAGGGTAAATCCCCCCTAAATAAATATTTTTGAACCAAACAGGTTATAACCACTCATAACCTCATTTTCGTCAAGTTTATGGGTAAAGGCATCTCTCGATCCCAATCAATTTGTACATATACTCATCGGTGTGCTCACAAAAGACCTGTATCAACAACCCCACAAATGGAGCCAACACAAGAAACCACACTTCATAATGTCAGATGAAGCTTATCAAAATCTCATGTCAAATAACATCCGTTGAAAAGCGAACAGATCATAACAAATCGCAACCAAGGCACATAAACATTGGTAAAATCCTGATCATCACATAATTAAAACCACACTGTTTAAACAAAACAAAAAAATAAAAATAAAGGGTTCAGAAATAAAATAACATTCCACCAAAAATAAACTGAAATCACACCCATCACAAAATCGGCCCTGAACTTAATTGCATTTGGTATCTCATGGAAGGCAAACAGTTTATATAACCAACACAAAATCAGTCGCCCTTTCTCCGGAAGGATAGAGTAACTACACAATCCAACCAGAAAATAGAAAATGAGCATGATTAAAATCAACAGATTAGTAATCTGGAAGGCACACGAGAGTTAAACTATGAATGCCAAATCCACTTTCTCTTAATAGGAACCAGAAAGCTTGGTACAAATGTGAGTACTTACATCCAACGGAGTCCCCTGCCCTTTGGAGCAAACAATATAGATTCAAAAAAAACATTCTATGCAAGTTCAGTATAAATGATTAATGATTATTACAGAGCAAATCATTCCAGGAGTCATACCACATTGGAACCAACTTCAGGCAACGTACTCATCTGCAAGGTTCTGCCATTTCCCGGAGCCATGAAGCGAACAGAAGGTAATGAAGGATCCGTCACCGATTCAACTTCAAGGAAATCAAAATTATATGCACCAGACTTCTTCAAACTAAATATAAACACAAGAACAATCCAGCCCAACATAGAAATAGCCCAGTAATTATTCATCCCATGTATCAACCCCCATGCTATAGCATACCCGACAAGAATTCCTGATAAATGACCTAGAAAACTTGCCTGTGGCACGATTATAGATGTAAATATAAGGGATTCAAACGGTGCAAAACTGATGGGAAGAGACAGAAACCCAAAAAGCTCCAGCTTAGATGAGGGTTGTTTCATAGATAATATCGTCATCCATCCAAACACTACACATGAGTACCCAACGGCAGTCACTCTCCGAAAGTAGTCTATTTTGAACTTTTGGATAAGAAAGTGATACATCCCCAGGACTAGCAACCCGGACAGAATGACCAACACTAGAGTGTAATGGAGATAATATTCAACACCAAGCCCTATAGATCCTAACTGCTCAATAACCCCAAGACTCCACAGTGCACTCATGTTGAAAACAAGATGAAGGATGCTAATATGCGAAAACGCCGAAGTGATTATCCTCCAGTGGTGACCATCCAGAGCAGTCTCGTAGCTCAATCCGACATGTGAATACCCTATCCCCTTCTTCTGAATATAGAACCAAATCAAACTACAGATAGCAATAACACAGCTGGTGGCTGGTTTTTCCAAAACTTCATAAAATAAGGGCTTCCCCATCGAACTGAAGAACCAGACACAATTATACCTGACAAAAGCGCAACCCTACAGCATCTAATTTACATGCCCGGACGACAGGTGTTCGACGAAATGACTATAAAGATCGATCAACAAAAAACTACTCCAGGATTTAACAAAATCAACTCGCATTCAAACTCAATATTCTATATAACCCATCAGAGACACTCCGATTCCATAAGAAATCAAGCAAATCCAACACGAATAGCACTCCGATTCAATATATATATATATATATCCAGCAATCAACCACGATGATGCTCCGATTTAATAAATAGTAGGGAAAATAATTCGATGCTACCAGAAAGGACTTACAGATAGATTCAGAAGACACATCTTTTTCCCTACTTTGTAGGTCAAATTGGAGGAAGAATTCACATCCTAATGTATTGGGTGTTCAATTAGGTTATATTTTCGCATTTGATTTTGGATTTGGGAAAAACAGTGTCGGTTATTATGGTTTATCTCTATATATATATATATATATATATATTAAGTTTTGTTTAAATTTAATATTAAAATAATATAATAGTAGAATGTCTTTTTTGCAGAAAAACATAATTCAAATAGAGTTTGAAATTAAAGGAAAAAATTAAAATTCATATAAAATTTCTATTATAATCTTTTATTTGTCTTATTAATTCAACCAAATTAAAAAAGCCCAAATGAAGTTTATTCATACAAAAAAATTTAATTTTATTTCTTTCTTATGCTGTATATATTATAAATCACTTTGTATTTCTCAAATCTATTTTAAATATTTTTTACAAGGCAAAATTATTCGGACACTGCACTACAGCCATTATCTTCAGCAGCCTAAAAAACCCTCAACATGGTTACTCGCACCACCATCGTATCGCTTTCGGAGGCGCCGGAAATATCCTCGATTAAAATTTGTCCAAAATCGCATCGCCAGAAAACTGTCCTTCTGACGGGGTTTAGGATATAGAATTTAGGGTTTTGGATTTAGACATGCGATTTGGCAGATATCTATATAGGGAATGGAACAATGTCGCGGATGCCTTAGCGTTTCCGGTGGTTTCTCTTTCGATTGGGCGGACACTTCTCTCGACAGATATCCTTTCGTCGATAAAAAATCTCATTCAACCAAATGCAAATGGTCTCCCGACTTTCCATTTCAGGTAGCAAGTTTTACCCTTTTACTTGGTTTTTTTGGGACACTTAATGTTCATATTACTTGGACTTAATATTGCTCTGTTGGTGTTAATGCCTTAGGCATGTTGTTATCTTTGGCATTTGAAACATTGTTTTTTCTATATATATGTATATATATATAAACCATAATAACCGACACTATTTTCCCCAAATCCAAAATCAAATGTGAAAATATAATCGACACTGTTTTCCCCAAATCCAAACCCTAACCTAATCGATCCGCTCGCCGGTTGTAACTTCTTTCAACCGTCTTAGAACTGTTTTTCGTCCGACCGGCACACCTGCTACGTCTCCTCTTGTCCGCCTTCCACTTGTCCGACCTCCGTGTCTGACATCTCATCTTTCTTCGCCCGACTTCCTTTTAACCGACCTCCGTATCGGCCGTCTCATCTTTTTTTCCCCGACTTCCTTTTGTCCGACCTTCGTGTCTGCCATCTCATCTTTCTTCGCCCGACCTCCTTTTGACCGATTTTCGTATCGGCCGTCTCATCCTTCTTCCCCCACTTCCTTTTGTCCGACTTCTCTATCGGTCGTCTCATCTTTCTTCGCCCGACCTCTTTTTAACCGACCTCCGTATCGGCCGTCTCATCTTTTTTCTCCCGACTTCCTTTTGTCCGACCTCCGTATCGGTCGTCTCATCTTTCTTCACCCGACTTCCTTTTGTCCGACTTCTGTATCGGCCCTCATCTCGAAAACCCTGCACATTGATTTTTTCTTACTCAACAATATGAATATGAAAATATAAATTTAAATAAATAAAGAATATAAATATATATTTTTTGAAATATAAATATATATATATTGAAACAAAAACGAAGTGGTTGACAGAATTAGTCGGTTACCATTTAAAATGATATATATACTGAATTGGTCGGATGAAAATGAGGAGAACCTAGATTGACATAGAAAGAAGAAAGAAAAAATATAATCAATTATATAAATATATATTTTTTTTGCAACCAACCAATTTTTTAAGAATTTTTTTTTCTATTTTATTAAAAAATTATTCTCTACAAATGATATATATGCTGAATTGGTCAGATGAGAAAGAGAAAAACCGTCCAGTCGGTTGCCAAAGAAAAATGAGAAAAAGAAATATAATCAATTATACAAATATATTTTTTTTATATCTGTGCAACCAACCAATTTTTTTAAAAAAAATTATTTTTCTTTGGATAATTTTTTTTCTAAGAACCGTCCTGTCGGTTGACATAAAAAGATGAGAGAAATAAATATAATCAATTATATAAATATATTTCTTTTATATCTTTGCAACCAACCAATTTAAAAATATATATATTTTTTTTTGGATAATTTTTTTTATATTTTATTAAAAAATTATTCTCTAACAAATGATACATATACCGAATAACATTTAATTTAGCTAAAATTAAATTTTAAATAAAATATAAATAATGCATAAAAATATAAATTAAGAAACACATCAATTAATTTAATTTATAAAGCACAATAATTGTAAAATATATTTAAAAATTAATAAATTAATATTTTAGACACAAAATACAATAAATACAGTTATTGAATTAAATTAATATAAATTATACCAAAACTCGATATAAATAATTAATTAATTTAATAAAAATAAATTATAAAATATGTCAAAATCAAAAGTTATCACTAATCGACTTTCCCATGGACGGTTGTCTTCAATCATTCCCTTATAATTTAACCAGTGTTCATAATTTTTGAAAATATATAAATATTGTTACGTACAAATAATAATAATAATAATAATAATAATAATAATAATAATAATAATAATAATAGTAGCAGGGTCTTAAAGGAGGTCGGACAAGATAAGGTCGAACGAAGAAGGATGAGACGGGTGATACGAAAGTCGGTCAAAAGAGGAAGTCGGACGAAGAAGGATGAGACGGCAGACACAGAGGTCAGACAAAAGGAAGACGGGCGAAGAAAGATGAGGGACGACATGGAGATCGGACAAAATAAGGTCGGGCGAAGAAAGATGAGACTGCCGATACGGAGGTCGGCCAAAAGAGGAAGTCGGGCGAAGAAGGATGAGACGGCCGATACGGAGGTCAGTCAAAATGAAGGTCGGGCGAAGAAAGATGAGACAGCAGACACGGAGGTCGGACAAAGAGGAAAGGTCTGTTAATTAGTCGGGCGAAGAAAGGTCTGTTAATTGGTCGCTTGATTGGGCGACCAATGAGTCTTTTGGTCTAGCGACCAGTTAGTATCTGGATTGGTCGGTCGGTCAAGCCAGTTAAGCCCTGTAATTGGCAGGAGCGGTTGGCTAGACGGTTAAAGACAAGTGTCAATGGAGGAGGATTTAGTGGACGGTTGACGGCGGTTGCTGTAATTGAACAAACAACGGTTCCAAAATGTTTCTTTAGGGAATATTTAAAGATAGAGTTCGCAACTGGAAAAAACATCTTCAATCATCTTCAATCGACATCAAAGTCAGTGAATTTCTTTTGGAGATCACCATTTACTTTTTCAGTATGTAGTATTTATTTTTCTAGTTTGCTTATATATCGTATGGTGTCTAGAGATTCTTAATCTCAGGCATTTATTTTATCAATTTTGAAGATAATTTCTATTTTCGGATTTTACTTTTTATTTGTTAAAAAAATTAATCAACAAATTGGCGACCACAGAAAGGCAAGATTGCTGATCCTACGTCAAGAGAGAAACATCGGAAGGATCCACATGGCGGGTTCACAACCCCAAGTCTCTTCAACACCGGCGGGAGAAACCATTTCACCACTTGCCATGCCAAATGCAGGGGAAGTCCGCCAAGCACCCGCTGATTGGGTGTCTTATGTTCAACATTTGAACAATCAACAAACTTTGGCTCTGCAAAACATGTTGCGTAAGCAACAAAATCTAATGCAGAACATGTTGCATCAGGCGTTCTCCAAAGTTACACTACATTTAAACATGCCTCCAGCCTTGTCAATTTTCGCTTTCAGGTAATTTTTCCAGGATCAACGTTTGCAGGGCCATCATACATTGATAGTACATTTCCAAGCGCCACAACTTTCAACCGAACAGATAGGGGGAAGACTCCTCTAACTTTCTGATATAATGTTCCTTTGGGACCAAGAGTTGATAATACTCAGCCGAATATCATAAGGGAAGAGAGGTTGGGGGGACAGGCTTATAATCCCATCCCAGCCGAGCCAACTGTCCCCAGAGAAGAGATGTTGGGGGGACAGACTCATAATCTCATTCCTGTTTTCGACCCTATTCCACCCATAGTAGATCCGGAAGACATCGTTCAAGTTCTGCGAATACATTTTGGAATGAATCCTCAAACGGTGAACAGGGCGGCATATCAGAGGACATTTCCAGAAAGAATCATCAATGAGCATCCTCTTCCAAGAAATTACAGGCCACCAGATTTTCATTCTTTCTCGGGGGAAGATGGAGCCTCAACCATTGAACATGTGAGGCGTTTCACGGCTCAATTGGGGGAAGTGGGCAATAATCCATTTCACAAATTGCAATTGTTTGGACTATCTCTCACAAGAACAACCTTTTCTTGGTTTGCCAATCTTTCACCGGGGCAGTTGTAAAGTTGGGAGGGCTTAGAAGCGGCCTTTCATGCAAGGTTCTTTAATCCTTTTCCGACAATCTCACTCACAGACCTTCTGGAGATCAGGCAAATGCTGGAGGAGACCGCCTATCAGTTTATAGAGCGGATACATCTAATGAAGGGAGGTTGCCCGACAGTCATTGAGGAGAGCAAGATGACCAATTTGGTGGTTAGGAATATGCATACACGACTGCGGGAGGCTTTAACGGCCCACGACGTTCAAGATCTCGCCAGTTTAGCATCCAAGGCGGGGAGGTTAGAATCCCTTTTTAGAGAAAATGATCACAACTTTCATCAAATGACCAGTGTCGATACAGAGATGTATGCACCATGCGACGAACAAGGGGAAGATGCTGAAGAAAGGGTGGCTGAGAAGTGGGACAGAAAGGATGGCTCATTCAAAGTGAAGTTAAAGAACAAAATGGTAGTGCGAGATCGACCACCGCGCAGGCCACCACCAGTCTGCGATAAATGGAGGTCGGATAAGAGGCTAACGTAGCCTCGGATGATGGAGATCGGATCTGAGGCTGACATGGCTCGGATGATGGCCTGCAAACTCTTAAACGTCACGAGAAGTAACGCTAAGGAGTCGGGCGGGAGGAGGCAAGTTGTTACGTACAAATAATAATAATAATAATAATGATAATGGTAGCAGGGTCTTAAAGGAGGTCGAACAAGATAAGGTCCG